GAAGACTCGTTCTACTGGAGTCCAGCCAAGCCAGTGACCCAGTTCGTATCCAAGGGCAAACATGATGGTCATTTCTACCGTGCCGATGACAATCACCTTTAACCCCAGTTGCCGGATTCGTTGCCACCCGATTTCGAGGCCGATGCCGAACAACAGGAGCACCAGACCGAGTTCAGCTAGCAGCCGGATGGCCTGCAAATTCTGAACGGGCCCTTGAATGTTTTCAAAGGGACCAAAGTTCAAACTGGCCAGAGTGAAAGGGCCGACAATTAAGCCGGCCAGCAGGTATCCCAACACCGGAGGCATGTGGATGACCCGAAAAACCAGGAGGGCTATTCCCGCCACTGCCATGGTGATTGCGAAATCGCGGATCAGGCCAATGCTGTCATCGGTCCCAGCGCCGGCCAATGCAAGCAGAGTCTCTATTCTTATTCCTCGGCAACGGCGGGATTTTCAGGTAAGTCAGCCAGTCAGAATTACGGGTATGTGAATTCTGGCCGGAAGGTGAAATTCTGTGGGGGAAAAAGAGAAGTGCCCTATAAATCCCCCTGGAGTCATAGAGTATCAGTTACAAAGGTATATGAGGCCTGAAGGAGGGTCAATAGCGGCACGTGATTATGGTTCAAGGCCAGGGAACCACGGGCTCCCAGCCCTGGGTGGCGAGTCCGAAGTGTCTTTAAGGCCTCACTACAGACCAGACTTGTGCTCCAGGGAGGGGCCATTCCGACAACTGAAGACCTGCCTGCAGATACATGGCAAAGTCTCTGGGGTTTCGGCTCGTATGCTAGGAGTGTCCCCTTTGGCCCATCATCCCACCTTGGCGCCAGGGATGCAGAAACAAGAACAAGAAGCTGTCCACAGTGTGGTTGGAGGCGACCTCCTTCAACTCTTAACTCCGGTATCTCCTCGGAATACCGGTCCATAAAGAAGTTGTTCCCGCACCCCAAGAATTTCAGCATCCGCTACCTGTGTCCCGTAGGCCGCTTTCCTCTCCTGCACCCTTTCCAGCCACACCTCCACCGAGGGCTTGGATGCGAGCATCACTAATTCGCCCCGCAGGTATTCCGGCATTGACTGGCCTCTAGGTGCGGCCCGGGCGGCAAGCTCGTCGTGAACTTCTTCAGGGACTCCCATTATCGTTATCTCTACATCCATAAAATCATTCCGTCATTTGGGCCAACAGACTGCAATCAACCTCTGGGCAATCTCATTTAGGCCCTCAGCAACGAACCCTCCTGCCGATAGATAAGCCCTCCCTTCGTGGCTCTTCGTCTTCCTTCGTGGAAAATCACGCGTCGAAACCGATGACACCCGCCCATTGTCAGTCCGTAATGCACCCCACTACCATAATCTCTATACCGTTCATCTAACCCTGCTCTACTTCGCTTGCCCAGCGGCCAGCGGTCTGTGCTACAAAATGAGCGGAAATGAGCGGAAAACAAAAATTTCTGCCCCCTCCCTCTGGGAGAAATGGTCGGGGGCCAGGGCACCCCAAACCCGCCCAGGGATCATCATGTGCCCACAAAAGTCTCCCGAACCCAAGGGCAACCCTTGTGGCTTCCCTGGGCATGGAAGAAGCCCCGCCGACGGTATCAACACTCCAGCTACAAAATGGGTGGAAATGAGCGGAAATGGTGGGAATACAAAAAATTGCTCCCCCTTCCTCTCGGAGATTCTGGGAGATATGGTCGGGGGCCAGGGCACCGCACACCCCAAACCCGCCCAGGATCATCCTGTGCCCACAAAAATTTCCCGAACCCAAGGGCAACCCTTGTGGCTTCCCTGGGCATGGAAGAAGCCCTGCCGACGGTATCAACACTCCAGCTATAAAATGGGTGGAAATGAGCGGAAATGGTGGGAAAAACAAACTTTCTGCCCTCTCCTTAAGGGAGAGAAGCGCGGAGCGTAGCATCGGAACAATTGGTCCACAGGTCAGAGGTAAGAGGTAAGAGAATGAAGCTGATTTTGCCGATACCCTGCTTCATGAGGCCGCGGGCTGAGGGGCAGGGCCGCCGTCGACGGGCGCCCACTTTTTCACCTCGCCGGCCCGGGCCGTTTTCTTGACCACTCAAGTCAGCGTGGGTTAGAGTCAACTTTAGAACAGGCAGCAGTAACAGGCAGCAGTAGAAGCATGCTCCCGCGCAACACTCCGCCTCCGGACGTTGTGCCCCAATCTCGGGCCTGCCTGCTCCCCAAGCCCCAATTTAGCTTTACAACTCGCTGATGGAGGAAATCACCATGCCCTTCTACGAAAGAGGCTCCACCCGTATCTATTACGAAGAGGTCGGTTCGGGATTCCCCTTGCTGGTAATCCCCGGTGGCGGACTTAATTCCACCGTGGAAGGTTTGCGGACGTCCCACCCCTTCAACCCTTTGGAGACCTACAAGGACGACTTCCGCTGTATCGCCGCCGATCTGCGCAATGCCAACGGGGGCCAGTCCAGTGGCCCGCTGGAGGTCGACGGCCCTTGGGATTCCCACTCTGCCGACCAGCTTGGACTGATGGACCATCTCGGCATCGACAAGTTCCTGGTCATGGGCTTCTGCATCGCCGGGCCGATGATCCACAACCTGCTCAGGCTGGCCCCGGAGCGTGTTGTGGCGGCGGCGATGATGCAGCCCAGCGGTTTCAGGCCGGAGATGCCGGACCTTTTCTACCAGAACAACATCGTTGGTTGGGGGCCGCCCCTTTGCGAGAAGCGCCCCGAAGTCACCATGGAAATGGTCCATGACTTCCTGACCAGCATGTACACCAACCGCGCCGACTTCGTTTTCACCGTTTCCCGCGATTTCGTGCGTAACCTGCAAACTCCGCTGCTGATCGCACCCGACAATGTGCCGGCGCACCCATACGAGGTCGCCATGGAAGTTGCCGGCCTCGCCCCGAACTCTGAAACAACCATTTTCCCCTGGAAAGACACCCAGGAGCACATCGACGAGGCCGTAGCCCACGCCCGGCGCTTCCTGAAAACCCACGAACCGGTAGCCGCCAAAGCCTGACCACTCCGAGTCGCCAAATGTAATGGGCCCCGCTACCTATATTCATCGCCTGGTGATGAATATAGGTAGCGGGGCCCTCGAATCTCGGCAAGGAGACAGATCCCAGCCCAGCTCACAGGTCATCCTCAAGAATGTGATGTGGACCAGGCTACCATCATGTTACGGGTCTAACGCAAGTACCGGGCAACCTTCGACCATTGGTTGCGGGCGCGCTTCCGCTTCTTGGGAAAATGTTGCCTCACCCCACAGGCAGCTCCCGACCCGTGTCCGACGCCTCTTGGATGGTATCAATAAACCGGTGCAGTTCAACGGCTGCATCGAAGTCTGGCAGGCGGTTCTCTCCGGTCCGGACTGCCTCGGCGAACAGGGTATACATCTGCCCCACGTTGAAGGGGTCGCCTTTGGGGAAGTCGGATGGCACATAAACGAAACGCTCAGGTATATCCAGGTCCTGCAACGTTTGACTTCCCCGCGCTCCCTGCACTCGCAGCATCTCACCCCGCTGTGACGAGACACTTCCCGTGACGACCAGTGTGCCTTCCCGACCGTAGATCTCCATTCGATAGCCGCTGCCGGCCAGGGGACGGCCCCAACATGTACCGACGCAGCCGCGCCGCTCTCCAGTTGTCCACTGACCCGCACGTTGTCCGGGGAGGTCACGTCTACCATCTGCTCGGTATCGGTCTCGTACAATTGCTTTACCTGGGTGCTGACCATGCACGCTACCCGCGTGAAGTTGCCAGCCACGAAGCGCAACGCGTCAATGACGTGTCCGTTGGCAATGGTCAGGGTGTTTGCTCCCAGGCTGGCATCGCGCTGCCAGGTGCGGCTGGAAGGACGTTCCAGCGCCCCATCCCGCATGGTGGTTACATGACAAGACAGCACCTCGCCCGCATAGCCGGCTTCAAGCTGTTCCTTGACATACAACAGCGCGGGACTGACCCGCGATTGCAGACCCACTGCGGTCTGCACACCCTTGGCCCGGGCCAGGGCTGCCAGTTCCTCGGCTTCGGCGGTGTTCCGTCCCAGGGGCCACTCGGTGTAGACGTGCTTGCCGGCTTCGATGGCGGCCTTCGTTGGCTCGTAGTGCGACGGCACCCGCACGACCACGGCCACCGCGTCTATCTCTGGCGACGCAGCCATGTCCCTGAAATCGTGGAAGGCCAGCTTAGCACCAAAGGCTTGGCGAGCCTCTTCCGCGCTCTCGGGCCGGGTGGTGCAGACCGCAGTAAACTCAACGTCCGGACTGGCCAGCAGCGCCGGAAAGTGAGATTGGGAAGCCCAGGTCGAGTTTACGTTGGCACCCACAAATCCCAGGCGAATCTTCTTAGGCATAAAGCATGCTCCTTAAAGTGCTGGCATCCTGCATCCAATTTGCATGTCCGCAGGCTAATGCCGTGGTTCGACAAATTCTATCATCAACCACAAGGCTTCGATGCTTCTCGGGGTCTCCCCAACTCTTGCACGTTCAAAGTGTTGAGAGATCTCGGGCCCACCTTCCGGCAGTGCGGCGTCCGGTAGACGCGGACTACAGGAGGGCCGCAACAGTCGCCGTTACGACGCGCGGGGTCTGAAGGGCAAGTTGACGGGACCGATTAGGACGGGGATGGGTGACTTACAGCTTTGCCTTTCCGATGTCGCGGGTTCCAATGCTGTACCAGAAAGTCCGCCCAAACATACATGTAAAGGTAACGGCTGTGAAAGGCAGTTTGAGTCTCAGGTGAAGCAGAGTAGCAGTGCCCGGCTTTCTTGGGAGTAGGCCATGCCACTCGTGTTGAATATCTGGGTGAGGCCAGTTATGAAGCCCCGGGACAGGTCTTAGGGAGAGGAGGGGTTAAGCAGGTGAATATCGACGGTAGCCACCCAAGGCCATCGCCGCTCCGTGAGCGGCGATGGCGTTTGTCGGGATGAACCCCCGGGGGTATCGGTTCACGTTGTCCCCGCCTGGCACCTTTTCCTAAGCCATGCGGTATGGGTCAGGTACCGGCTCGTTGCCTGAGCTAAGCCAGGTTCTTCCCCAGGAATGCCCAGATGTTGTTCCAGCCGTCCACGGCCTGCTCCTGCCGGTACATGGCGCGGTCGTAGTAGAAGAAACCGTGGCCGGCGCCATCGTAGCGGTGGAACTCGTAGGACTTGTTGTGTTTCTTTAACTCTTCCTCGTGCAAGTTCACCTGCTCTGGCGTGGGCGACTGGTCATCGTTGCCGAATAATCCCAGCAAGGGGCAGGACAGGTCGGCGGTAAAGTCTATGGGGGCTGCGGGCTGGTTTGCGGTCAGTTCGTCGCCGGAAGCAACCACCCGTCCACCCCAGCACTCCACCGCGGCATCAAAGCCCTGGATGCGGCAACCGGAGAGGAAGGTGAGCCTGCCGCCGGAGCAGGTGCCGAATACGCCGACCTTGCCGTTGAGGTTAGGGAGGGTCTGCAGGAAGCGCAGCGCGCCTTCTATGTCTCCCAAAGCCTGCGCATCGGATATGCCGCCTGACTCCCGCACCCTGGCGCCGACCTCGCTGGGGTCGCCGTGGCCGTTCCGGTGGTAGAGGTTGGGGGAAATGGTTACGTAGCCGTGGTGAGCAAAGCGGCGGGCTGCCTCGCGGTACCACTCGTCCCAACCCGGCGCGTGGTGAATCAACACCATACCGGGGAAGGGGCCGGAGCCCAGGGGCTTGGCAATGTAGGCGCCAATGGAGTCCCCATTGGGGCCCTGGACCGTGGTAGTTTCCGCAATCATCCCTTCGTACATTTCAGTGCTATACATCTGTACACTCCTTTAACGAGGATGACCCTAGCTTGAAACGTATTGCTGCCCAAGTCAAGACCTGTAGTTGACCAGTAACCGTTTTCATCACGGGTGATTTCCGGGCCCCCCAACCGTCAATCTGGCCTTGAGCCGGAATCCAGAGGGGTTGGCGCAGCCAGCGGTACGGGGCAAGTCAGGTTCCGGATTCTTCCGCACCTATGTACGAATATTCCTCCAAGGCTAGCTAACAGTAACCTGCTCCTCGGCGTAGGCGGCTTCAACGAATCCCTCTATCTGGGTCCAGCGGACGTTGCCTGTGTCGTGGGTCAAATCTACGGCCTCTCCCGAAGAGTTTTCCAGTCCCCCGGCGTGGTACACCAACTCGATGAGGTTTTCATCGGGGTCGCTGATGTAGGTGTAGCGCTCACCGGTGTCTTCCCTGGTTCCCTGCCGGGGATCGTCGCCGCCCGTACCGGTGAATGCGCCGCCACCCGTTCTGCTGTAGGGCACACCCTGGGAATCCAGGTGGGCCAGCATAGAGTCGAAGTCCTCAACCTCAATGGCAAAGTGGACTCGGGGTACTTTGACCAGGTCTTCCGTGTCGGAGGTGTGGATTTCTCCGGTCCCCAACCGCAACTGGAGCTGCCGGCGGTTCAATGCCGGGCCCCGGTCCAGAAACTCGGCGCCCAGCACCCGCTCGTACCATTCCCGCGTCCGTTCCCGGTCGGTAATCTGGATGTTGATGTGGTGGATCATGTTTATCTTGGACAAAGCAACACCTCCCCGCTGGTTGTTCCAAAGATGGGCCAATTATCCTGCCAAACCCCCAACGCGCGCAAACTATGGCGAAGTTGCCGTTCCAACTGCGATTGCAGGTATGAGCGAAAGGGCCCCGAACATCCAAACCCGCGTTAGATTCGCTTCATTGCGGGCGGCCGAGGGTATAAACCGAAAAAATGAAGTGTGCTTGCGCTACCGTAGCCTGTTTTGTAACAGACGGAATAGCTACCGCTATTGACGATGCCTCGCAAGCTTCGTATCATCCACTGGAACGACGGTGGGCTGATCCGCCTTTCCATGCTCACCGGTGCCACTTCCACCAGCTACCCGGCGACCAACACACGTTAGTGTCCTCCAAGGTTGTCCGGCGGCTTGGCTCGATCATCTCCAGTCCCGCAGACCGGGAGCTATTCCCTTTTCCTGTTGGCTACTTCCCAGGGGTATTCTCAGGAGGCGCTGGAATGAACGTCATCTGGATAGTTTCGGACACCTTCCGGCAAGACCACGTCGGCGCATACGGCAATCCATGGATTCGAACTCCTTCCCTCGATGCCCTTGCAGCTGGGTCGGTTCGGTTCGACAGCCACTACTCTGCCGGTTTCCCGACCATGCCCACCCGTGCCGACCATCAGACGGGCCGCTGGACGATGTCCTTCATGGGGTGGGAGCCTCTTCCCTCCGGGGTGACCACCCTGGCAGAGATTCTGGCCGGACAAGGCTTTCACACGGCGGCCTCCGTGGACACCCCCTACTACCTCCGGGATGGAATGAACTACGACCGGGGCTTTCAGTCCTTCGTTTTCAACCGGGGACAGGACACCTTGTGGTCGCTGATTCCCCAGCCCGGCTATCACAATGAATCCCTGGATGTTCGGGCGGCGTGGCGGAATGAAGCGGACAGAAACGCGCCACAGACCTTCATGGGCGCCATGCGCTGGCTGGAGAGGCACTACAAGGAGGACTTTTTCCTGTATGTCGACACCTGGGACCCCCACGAGCCCTGGGATGCGCCGTCCTACTACACTGAACTCTACCTGCCGGATTACGACGGCGAACTCGTCCTGCCCCTCTATGGAAACTGGCATGACGTCCCCGGATACGAAGAGTCCCAGATGCGCAAGGGGCATGCCACCTACTGTGGCGAAATCACAATGGTAGATACCTGGGTGGGCTTTCTCCTCAAGTCGGTGGAAAACATGGGGCTCGCAGAGAAGACGGTGGTCATATTCACCACCGACCACGGCTTCTACTTTGGAGAGCACGGCGGCCTGTTCGGCAAGATGAGTTCGGGCAAGTATCCGGACGGGACACTGCGGCCGTACGACGAACCCGGTTCCCAGTGGAGTTACTCGCCGCTATTTGAAGAGATTGTTCACCTGCCCCTGCTGATTCGCGCGCCCGAAGTGTCTCCTGGCGCGTACCGGGGTCTGAGTTCCGCCATCGATGTCATGCCCACCGTGCTTGACCTGTTGGGCATGGATGTCCCGGACTTTGTGCAAGGCCGTTCACTTGCGCCCGCGTTACGCGATCCTTCGCAATCCGGACGCGACTACGTGGTCAGCAGCCTGCCCTTCGCCAACCCGGGCGATCCGGTTCACTCAGTGGACAACCTGCTCCGCACGCTAACGGAACCACCTGTGACGACCATCACCTCGGGTGGCTGGAGTCTGCTATACAGTCCCCTGGAAGGCGTTTCAAAACTGTACAACCTGACCACCGACACGGCTCAGGCCAACAACGTTATAGAGAAGCATCTGGACGTGGCAGGGGAACTCCATCAGATGCTAGTGGCCTTTATGCGAGAGACCCAAGTCCCCGACCGCCTGTTGAAGCCTCGCCTGGAATTGCGAATGTAGGTCCAGTGGCCGAACGACACAGCTCGTATAATGGGCAAACCTGAGTCTCAGGCAATATGCACCGGGTTGCAGGACCCGTCGGGGCAGTTTGTAGTTGAAGGTAAGAAGCGGGATATGCTGCTTAAGGGTAAGGTAGCGTTGATCACCGGCGCAGGTCGGGGAATAGGTCGTGCCATTGCTCTGGCCTTCGCCCGCGAAGGAGCACAGGTCGCCGTGACCGGCCGCAACATCGACCGCCTGGCCCAAGTGGTTGACGAGATACGCGCCGGCGGAGGCGAGGCTGAGGCCTTCACCTTGGACGTGACACGGGAGAGTGATGCCCTCAGCGTAGTCGAGGAAGTCGTCGGTAAATGGGGCAGTATTGACCTGCTCGTCAACAACGCCGGGGTCATCACTTATCACACCCCGGTATGGGAGACATCTCCGGAACAGTGGGACGAGGTCATGAACACCAACCTGCGGGGAATTCACCTGGTCTGCCGCGCGGTCACACCTCAAATGATAGAGAGGGAGGAAGGGATTATCATCAACATCGGGTCGTCATCCGGCAGGCAACCCGAGGGCGATTTCGGAGCTTACGTGACCTCCAAATGGGGCGTCATAGGCTACACGGCCTCCCTTGCCCACTCCCTCCGCCCCTATGGAATCAACGTTAACGGCATCAATCCCGATTGGGTGGACACCGATATGGCCAGGGCCTATTATCCCGACGGAGACCCGGGGTGGATAACCGGGGAACAGGTAGCCCAGGCGGCCCTGTACCTGGCGGCTCATGCGCCCAGGCTTATGACCGGCCAGTTCATCGACCTGTTTGGAGGCTGATTCCCCAACCTGTTAAGCGACGGTGCAGCAATGAGCAACAACCCCGATTTCTCCGAGTCCTTCTACCGAAGTTATGCCCAGCGTTATGCCGAGGTGAGCCACAATTTCATTCAATCGGTGTACACCGATGTCTCCCACCCGGGCTTGACGGGTGATACAGCCCTTATCGACCGTCTCCAGGAGCTTGTTCCTCCAGGATGTCGGGGGCTGGACGCAGGTTGTGGCGCTGGCGCCCGGGACGTCTACTTCTACTGGCAGAAGGGGTACGACGTCTACGGGATAGACGCTGTGGAAGAGAATATCCAGGAGGCCCGCCGGCTGCATTCCGAAATTGCCGATAGGGTGTCGGTTGTCGACCTTCGCGAACCCCTTGACTATCCCGATTCCTCTTTCGACTTTGTCCTTTGTAATGCGGTCATCCAGCACATCGAACCGGACATCGCCCTGGGGACTACCCTGCCGGAGTTTGCCAGGGTCCTGAAAACGGGCGGTATTCTCCAGCTTATGTTCAAGTACGGGAACGGCATTACCACCGTCTACGATAGGGACTATGGCTCGGACCGGACTTTCCAGCTTTACGAAGTGGACGAGGTGCTTGCAACGATGATGGAGCAGAGGTTTAGTGTGATTCCGGCGGAGGGAGAAGGACTGGGTGGAATTATGTACTTCAAAGATCCCAAACCTATGGATCATTGCGTCTTTTTTGTTCGCAAGGATGGGTGATGGCAAGGGTTCCCTGCTCATCAATGCTGATCTGGCAACCTCAGGTCTGAGATGAGCGGCCTTAGAATTCCCAGCGGTCTTCAGGACATTACACCCTGCTGGTTAACCAGAGCCCTCAATGGCGGTGGGCGACAGGCCGGCGCGTCCGTGAGGGGATACTCGGTCGAGGCCATTGCCGAGGGCAAGGGATTCATGAGCCAACTGTTCCGGCTGAGGCTCGACTACGACTCTGGTCCCGCAGAACTTCCACAGACCATGATAGTCAAGCTCCCGTCCGCAGACCCGCAACTCAGGACGATCTTTGACAGGCTGGGACAGAACAAGCGAGAGGTCAGGTTTTACATCGAACTGGCATCCAATGTTCTTCTTCAGACCCCTCGCGGCTACTATTGCGGCATAGACCCGGCAAACGGGAACACTGTTCTGATACTGGAAGATATGAGCTATGCCCGGCAAGGCGACAGCGTGGCCGGCTGCTCCCTGGATGAGGCGCGCCGCTGCATAGGACAACTGGCCAGATTCCAGGCAGCGTGGTGGAACAGCCCGCTCCTGGACCGCTATGACTGGATGCCATTGAAGGATGCCGAGGCCTTTGTCTACCAGGAAATGTACGCGGGAGCATGGGAGTCTCTGGTGCGGAAGGCGGGCGTAGGAATGCCTCCGAAGCTGCGTCATTTGGGTGACCGTCTTGCGCCGGAGGTTCACAGGTTAAAGACCCAACTCTCCAAGTCGCCCAGGACAATTGTTCACGGGGACTTTCGACTGGACAATTGTTTCTTTTCCACATCCGGGGACTGTCAATCAGTTACAGTAATCGACTGGGAGTTTTGTGGACGGGGTCGGGGCGCCTACGATGTTGCCACCTTCATCAGCGAGACATTCTCTCCAGAGCAACGAAAGAAAGAAGAGCCTGGTCTTTTGCACGAATACCACTCAATCCTGGAGGACAATGGGGTAAGCGGCTACCCGTTCGACGAGTGCCTGCATGACTACCGGCTGTCCATGCTGGAAGTCTTCGTATTCTGGATAGTCACCGGAGGCTACTGCGATTATGAAGACGAGCGGGCCAAGAGGTACTTGCGCAACACCCTGGAGCGATTGGACGCCGCCATATCAGACCTCGCCTCTACTGAAGCAGTGGGTTTGCAATAGCGGGCGGCACCAACTCGTCTAACCCGTCAAGGTGGCCAAGGCCGGGGGTGGTTGGTGGGTCGCCTGTTCGCCCTGAACCTGGTCCTGTCCTGGTCCGGTCGTACTGGGACTTCCGGAGTCCCAATCAATGTTTGACGAATGTTTCCTCTCTGGAATCAGTGACCGTTCCCTTCCGTGATCGAATAGCCGATTCCAAGGCGCCAGGTGGGGAGTGGCCGGGAATCCGACCGGGTATAATGATTCGCAAAACTTTGGGGGTAGCCAGCGTGGATGTACAGAAGCTGAGGGACGAGATTCCTGTCCTGGCCAACGTGACCTACCTGAATACCGGATGGTCCGGGCCGCCGCCGCGCCGGGTGGCGCAGGCGATGAAGGACCGCATTGACCTGGAGATGGAGGAGGGGCCCACTTCCCGTCCGGTCCAGGAAAGCGGGCGCGAGGTGCAGGCCCAGGCCCGCCGGGCCGCGGCCCGGCTGTTCAACGCCGACACCGAAGAGGTAATGGTAACCCGCAACACTACCGAGGGCCTGAACATTGTGCTGAGCGGGCTGGACTGGCAGCCCGGGGATGAAATCATAACCTGCAACCTGGAGCACGGCTCAGTTCTTGTCACCAGCCTGGTTACCGGCAAGCGCCACGGCGTCAAGGTACGGGTGGTGGACCTGGACCCCCAGGACTCGCGCGAGACCATCCTCGGGAAGTTCGAGGCTGCTTTCACTCCTCGGACTCGCCTGCTCTTCGTCAGTCACGTCGAGTACTCCACCGGGCTGCGGATGCCTGCTCCTGAGCTTACTCAACTGGCCCATGACCGGGGCGCGCAAATAATGCTGGACGGCGCCCAGACGGGGGGGCACCTTCACCTCGATATGGCGGCGGAGGGGTTTGACTACTATTCAATCCCCGGCCAGAAATGGGTGCTGGGCTACGAGGGCGTGGGTGCGTTGTACATCCGCCGGGAACTGATTGAAGGGATACACCCGGCCCATTCCGGGGGGCGTGCCGTAGTGCATCCGGTGGACTATGACAACATTCAGCTCAACGCTGCCGACATGGAGAAGTTCCACGGCGGTTCGTCCAGTGTGCCCCTGCAGGCCGCCTTCCTGGAAGCCGTCGGCTTCATTGAGGAGATTGGCGTCCAGGACATCGAGGACCGCAACCGTCAATTGGCCTCACGTTTAAAGCAGCAGCTTGCGGATATCCCCGGGGTGCACCTGTATTCCCCCATGGAACCGGGCTTGTCCTCCGGCCTGGTGGCCTTCGCCTTGTCGGGCTGGGAGCCACCAGCGGCAGTGGAACGGCTGTGGAACGACCATCGCATCGTGGTGCGGCAGGTAGAATATCCCCCGGGAATCCGGGCATCCCTCCACTTCTTTAACACCGAAGACGAGGCAGACCAACTGGCGCAGGCGGTTAAAGGGCTGGTATAGGCAGTCAGTCAGACGGGCGTACGCCTTCAAAGTATCTTCTGGGGTTCTCGACCATCATGCGGTCGATGACCGCTTCCGGAACCCCCGACTCCACCAGCCTGGGGATGACGGCGCGGCTGAGCCAGAGGTAGCCGTCCGGGTTCTGGTCCCTGGTGGGCATACCCGGTGAGCCGATGCGGGACAGGACGATGTTCCAGTCGTGGGACAGCATCATGTTGGCAGCCAGGCCCTCGTCCAGCCGTTCCTTGAGGTAGTCGGTCCTCTCCTGCCAGGGAGGAAGGTTGGGGCGGCCGAAGGGGTTGTTAATATCCCAGCCCAGCCAGACTCCCAGGCGGGCCAACTCATGGTGATAATCGGGGTCGAGAGTGTTGTTGATGTGCCCCACGTATATGTTATGGGTTTCAACTCCCTCTTCTTTCAGGATGCGCACCTGCTCTTCGCCTATCCGTGACTCGGCGGGCGTGTGGGTGGTAATGGGGACGCCGGTGCGGAGGTGGGTCCGGGCCGAGGCACGGAGCATCAACTCTTCCTGCTCAGTAATGGGGTCGCTGGTAGCCACCTTGATGATGCCGGCCTTGATTCCCGTACCCTCAATTCCCTGCTCGATTTCCCTTACCCAAAGGTCCGCAATGAAGTCCTTGTCCCGGCCCCAGAAGCTGCGGGGAACGTCCAGCCAGCAGCCGGTGCAGCAAACGAACTGCACTCCCGTTCGCTCCGAGACCTCCTTCATAAGAAGAACGTCCCGCCCCAGATCAAGGGGAGAAACCTCTACGACGGTGTCCACGCCGCCGGATTTGGCCTCGGTAAAGGACTGCAAGGCCATGTCCAGGGCATGGTCGCGGAATTCCAGTTCGTAATATGTCTGCCGTATTCCGGCGGAGGAATCGATAAGGTGTTCGTGGGGCAAGGTGAACCCCAGGTCCGCCGTATCCAGTGGGCCGAGCACCGAGTTTATGGTTGCCATGCGACACCTCCGATTGGCCGCGTGTTGGCCCCGTATTGGCCGAGTACTTGCCCGCGCAGTCTTGAAAGCGGGTATATCTCTCTGACCGGATTATACAGGGTTGGCGGCCCTGCTGATTTTCAGGCAGGAGAGCATGAACTGCCTGACCAGGTATGATACCACCGGCTATTCCCCAGGGCCGGTCCGGACGGGTAGCTCATCCCAACCCCCATCATTTGGTGTATTATTCCTTCAGCAAGAGGGGGAAGCTGGATAACCGCTAGCTTCTGAGCACTCCGCCGACTGGTGATCTATCACCTGTCACCCAAGCAACAACCGCAATCTCAACGGGAGCAACGCCATGACAACAGTTGACCCGCTTTCGCGCGGCGAAATCATCCAGCAACTGGACGGCACCTACGAGTTGTTCTCCCTGCCTACGGACGAGGACACTCTGCGCGGCATTCTGGAGGACTGCCTGGCCGAATGGGAGCACGTCCGAATCGGCATGCTGGTGCCCGGGGCGGTGTGGGAAATCAAGCCTCCCTGCCAACCGCGTACCGGATTCCTGGACGGCTACATTACTGTGGACTTCCAGGAGTGGCACCTGCACCTGTGCATTGGCGAGTCGAAAGCGGCGCCGCCGGAAACGGTCCGGCTGCGGCGCACTGCCCGCGCCGAACTTTATCGCCGCCTAAACCCTGACCACCAGCCCACTTCCTGGGGGTTCCGCCTCTTCAACGGCGGCGGCCAGCAGCAGATTACCGTCCTGTTGCCCAATCCCCACCTAGATGAAGAGCAAAACTACATGGACAGTCCAGACTGGGACCGGCTGTACCTGTGGGACCGGCTGAGGGAGAAATACCTTTCCCAAGGCTACGATCCGGTAGACCGCTCGGCCTCCAGGTTCTTCCATGGCTGATATGGCGGGGGACAGGCATCCCCTGGCAGACAGCATGGCCCGTGCCCAGGAGTTGGGCGGTTTCTTTGCCCTGCCCCAGCGCCAGCCCGAGGAACAAGGCTGGACCAGCGCCCGCGACCTGTTCAAGGGTGACGACCAACGGCTGGGCGAGTTGGTTATGGCCTATGGGCAGCGGGCCTGGGAAAGTGACAACCGCCACGTGGCCGGCTCCGCTTTCCTGGTTGCCTACCTCAGCCGCGTTGTTTTCCCCCTGGTGGGGCAATATGTCCTGGAGCGGCGGGTGCCCGATGTGTCCCTGGACAACCTTTCCTTCCACTGGAACGGTTCGGGAATTGACGCCACCGGCCTGAACTGTCTTGCCTTCGCCGCATTGCCTGACGATTCGGCCGTTAACCACTTAGATGCGATGGCCGTAGCCGACGCTGATGCCCTTTACGCCCAGCTAAAGGTTTGGTTGTTCGATGACAACCTGAACATCGTGATTGACAGTCTGCTGCGTGCTGCGGGCGCCAGTTGGAAAGTGTCGCTGAACGCAGTGGCCGCCGCCTTTTCCCAAGTACTAAACCGCCTTTACGCCACGGCAGGCCGCCCCGAAGAGGTGGTCCGGATAGCCGCCTCCTTCCTTACCGACCCTGACTCGCCCATTTACGGGCAGCTGACCATGGAGGAGTTCCAATACCAGGGCCGCACGGGGTTCTTCTCGCGCCGCCGGGGGTGCTGCCTGTGGTGGCGGTCGCCCCGTTCCAACGATTATTGCTCCAACTGCATCCTGTTGCCCCCGGACCAGCAAGACCAGCGCTTTCGGGAGATGCTGGCGGGGCTGCGGTGAATGGGGAAAATTTTCCAAGTCGGGCAGGTGGTCACCCCCATCCTAGCCTTTCCGGGCTTTGCATCAAAAGTGCCGAAAAACCCCGACTATTGATGCAAGCCGAGGGTAAGGATGAGAGGAATGATGGATTTGGCGATTCTGCTTTATACGGCACCTGTGGGATTGATGCTCGATATAGTCGGGTTTCTTTTGATTATTCGTTACGGGCACAGTCTATTTCTTAGGGTAGTGCCAGGCGACCTTCCTGATAGGCAGGACCACAATCTGTACCTGCGAGCGGACGGAATAGATGAACGAATCGAAAGCCGCCGGAGACTGTACGCCCGTATCGGAGTTGTTGCTGTAGTTGTCGGCTTTGGGCTTCAGATCATTGGCTCAACGGCGGCAATAATCTTGTGCGTCTAATCATGACCCCTCGCTGCCTGAAATCACGCTTCCGTCCTGGTACGGTCGATTAGACGGACTTTTGATGCAAGTGGCACTTTTGGTGCAAAGCCGCCTTCCCCCGTCAAGGGGGAAGGGACCTTTTAGATAGTATCTAAGAGTAGCCACTCTGAGCGAAAAGGGGAAATCCAAACCCAAGAACCGGGTTTGCAGACAGGCTACCCCGTTTGGACAATAAGCCAGCCAAGTCCAATCATTCCACCAATTACTGCAACCAACAGGCCTCCGCCAACTCCGAAAATAGCAAAAACTAGCTTATCAATGCGGTCGTTGGTCTGGTCCACCCGACGACTTAACTCCGCCTGACCAGTCTTTAAGTCCTGTAGTGTGTTGACCACTCCCCCCAATCTCCCCACGACGTAATCAAGGCTTTGATTCGGTTCTGCGTCCATTGTTGTCATTGGTTTTTCGCTTAGTAGGTCAGGAACAATGCCAGGAATCGAGAACTGTGCCTAGTTGCCGTCGGCGCCGGCCATTGAGGCGGTTTCCCTGCCGGTGAAGGCGGGCATTACCTCGGCGGCGAACTGGGAAAGCTGGTCTTTGAACTCGAGCCAGGGCATGCCTTCGGGCCACTGGAGGATGATGTCCTCAAGGCCAGGGTACTTTTCTTCAACCTCTTGCAGGAAGGGAATGAAGCCGTCCGAGGGGCCGCAGTACCATGCCTTTTGCTGCACTCCGTCCTCAATCCGGGGAACGCCGGTGGGCGCGCCCGGGGTGCCCCAGGCCCGTCCCTGCGAGTCGGTGTAACGGACGAATCCGAAGGGAGCGAACCACTTGTAACGCTCATCGTGGTAGGGGCGCACCCGTTCGATGGCCTTCTGCTGCGTGTCGTCCAGGCAGAAGCCGAACCCCAATCCCATACTCTGACCCAGGGCGATGTTCAGGCCGGCGGCATTGGCGGCGTCGTGGTAGGCGTTGAACATCCGGTCCACCAGTATCTCACCGGAAAGGGCGACCATGGCCTTGATTCCCCGCTGGGCGATCCACTCCAGGGTCCGGCCGCTGGCGATGGGCTGCCAGATTTCCACAGGCCGGTTCAACGGTCGGGGAACCAGGGTAACGTCCTCTACCTGGTAGCCCCGGTAGGGCACGTCGGGGGGGATGGTGTAGTACTTGCCCTTGTGGCTGAAGGACTCTTCGTTGAAGGCCTTCAGGATGATTTCCATCTGTTCCTCAAAAAGCTCGCGGTTGGCGTCATTGTCGATTACCGGCGACCCGAAGGTCTCCACCTCACGAGAGTGGTAGCCGCGGCCCACGCCGAAAATCAGCCGGCCACCGGTCAGCACGTCGGCCATGGCGTAGTCCTCGGCCAGGCGCAGGGGGTGCCACATGGGCACGATGTTGAAGGCGGCGCCAAACTTCAGCTGTTTGGTCAGGCCGGCAAGGTGAACCCCCAGCAGGGTCATGTTGGGGAGGCACTCGTAGCCCTCACGCTGGAAGTGGTGCTCCGCCGTCCACATGCAGTAGAAGCCTAATTCGTCCATGTGCTTTGCCAAGGCGACGGCGTGGTCGTAGGCCTGCACCAGCTTTTCGTTGGGATAGCGCCGGTCGTTGGCCGGTGTGCCGTCGGCACCCACGTTATCCAGGTCGATCTGGCCGACGTACAAGACGGAAAACCGCTTAATCATTCGAAATATCTCCGTGAAACTAAGGTCTCTGCCCCTGGGCCGGACCTGTCTTTGTTGCCCGTTCCCCAAGGAGATTCAGATAAGGCGCCAAATGGCAGCGCTAATTATAGCACGGCCTTGCGCTGGCTCTAGACCCTAGCAGGGACGCCCTCACCCCCGGCCCTCTCTCTGAGGGAGAGGGGAGTGATCAGGCCTGGGCGGGCAGGTCTCAGCGGAACCCTTCCAGGTAGCCGCCGGTTTCGGCCCAGGGGAGCAGGACACTTACGATCTGGCGTGGTTCGGGACTTTTGCCTGCTTCTTTACACTTTGCAAGGTAGTGATGAAGGGAGGTGTAGGTATAGAGGCGGAAGCCGCGCTGGGCTATCCGCCAGATTACGGTATGCGATTCAGGGGCCTCCTTGCCGTCGGCGACGGTAACGTTCCAGTCGTGGAAGATTTCCTCGGCCATGCGGCGGAGTCGGTAGACGGCCAGCTCTTTAGCGTACTTGCGCTGCAGGGCGCGAACCTGGTTTCTGATCTGGGACAAGGTCATGGGATTGCCTCCTGATGTTTTTGTCTACGAAGGGGCACGAATATTCGCCAATTATTTTTTGTTTTTCCTGCCATTTCCGCTCATTTCCCCCCATTTTGTAGCTGGGGCAGAGTTGCCGGTGGGGGTGACATTTTCCATGTCCAGGGCAACTACAAGGGTTGCCCCTGCGTTCGGTGTTACGCGACGGGTTTAGGGTTGGCGGGAACGCCCTTACCCCCGGTCCTGTCCCTGGGGGAGCAGAGTGATTTTTTTGTTTTCCTGCCATTTCCGCTCATTTCCCCCCATTTTGTAGCTGGGGCAGTGTTGCCGGTGGGGCGACATTTTCCATGCCCAGGGCAACCACAAGGGATGACCCTTCCACAAGCTCGGGATGCGCGGGTTGGTGGGGGCGAGGCAGGGTTGCACAGTATTTATGGTAGAAGAGGGTCACGCGGATCGACAAGGGCGGGTTGTCATGGGTTTCGGTGGAGAGTTATCTGTAAGTGGACACGAAGGAAGGCCATAATTCGTGACTGAGTTGTAAGGTTTGCTGGAGGGATGAAATTCCTGCCTTCGGAACATCGACTATTGCGGCCAGTCCTCGCGCCCATAGGCATACCCCAAGCCAACCCTTATAATCGGCGCAAAACCGTCCGACGACGATGCCAATTAATGGCGCAGCGTCGGCAGATTACCGGAGGGACCGATGGAACTGGGTTTGGAAGGAAAGACAGCTATGATAACCGGCGGCAGCCGAGGTCTGGGTCGCCGCATCGCGGAAGCGCTGGGACGCGAGGGGTGCGCCATATCCATATGTGCCCGGGACGAAGGGCAGTTGAATACATCGGTGGCTGAGATGGCAGCCATGGGTTATCGGGTGCAGGGGACGCCGGCGGATGTTACGCAGGAGTCCGATGCACAGCGCTTCTACGATGAGACGGTGACGGGTATGGGCAAACCGGACATCCTGGTCAATAACGTGGGCGGCCGGCGCGGGTCGGTGCTATTTGAAGAGACCAGCATGGAGCAGTTCCGGGATGGTATGGAGGTCAACCTGTTCAGCGCGGTGCAACTGGCGGCGCTGGTGCTGCCGCACATGAAGGAGCAGGGCTGGGGCCGGATTATCAGCATTTCGTCGATATACGGGCGGGAGCACGGCGGGTCCATCGATTACATGACGGGCAAGGCGGCACTGATCGCCTTTTCCAAGCACCTGGCACTGCAGATGGCGCCCCACGGAGTGCTGGTCAACTGCGTTGCCCCGGGATCCATTGATTTTCCGGGGAGCACGTGGGAGCGGTTCCAGAACACACAGTCGCCGGAAGTGGTGGCAGAGTTCATCGGCCGGAACCTGCCCATGGGGCGGTTTGGCTGGCCGGAACCCATCGCGGAAACGGTGGCCTTTTTGGCCTCGGACCGGGCCGACCTGATAACAGGGGCGTGTATCAACGTGGACGGAGGGCAATCGAAGTCGCTGTTTTAGGACGTCTTTGATTGAGTTATCGACATTGCTGCGATAGGTGAAATCCCTGAGGGGAGATAAGGCGCTTCAGCTATGGAATGAGCGTCGGGAAGCCCATTCCAGCCTTGTCCCGTCGAGGGGGAAGGGCCCTTTCAGAGGTTTATCAGGGTGGAAGTTAACCAGGTGGCGTTTCAAAGGAACCGCTCCTGCGCCGCTTGATTCCGGGGCAGGGCCCGGTGATTCAAGAACCTCTGCCCTAAACCATCGAGGTTGCTGCCTTCGCAGGAACGACGGTCTGGGGCAGTTTATTGACTTAGAAACTAACTCGGAAGCGGTGGTGAAATTCTCAGCAGTACCCAGCGGAGACATTTCGCAAGGCGTCACCCCCCATCCCAGCCTTCTCCCCTCGACGGGGGAAGGGACTCTTGAGATACTCGCAGCCTAACCGCCGAGGAAGAAGTCGGCTATGTTGCCGAACTTTGAGGTGTCGCCCCGGTAGATTTCCGTGTAGCCGCACTGGGAGCAGGACACCGTGGTAAATTTCTTGTTCTGGACGTCAAAGAACCTGGAGAAACCGCCGCCGGTGGCGCGGAATTCGTCCGTTGTGTAGCTATTGTTGTTGCACTTTGCGCAGGCATAGGCGATTCGCTGGGTGGCCATCCTCAATCCTCCTCACTTCGGCCTCAGTTACCATAAAAACATGGCTCTACATTCCAGACTAACAGCAGCTTTCTTACCTTTCAAGGCATTTCGAGTGCGAGGTCGAGAGCTGTAAAACCCAGGGCTGGACCCGGGACCAAAAGCGCGCCGGCGCAATTGCCCCGGATAACCCTCGAATCACTTTCCCGTTGCGAAATCGCCTTTCCGAGGCCGCAAGACAGGGCAAGTTATAAAAAATGATTCACATTTCCACGTCTGCTATTCCCAAGCCAATCCACATTTTCTTATAATAGAAAGGTAAGCGACAGTATATGTTTTAGAGCATCGGTATAATATATACTTAATTACGAGATCTTAATTCAACGGGAGGCGGACATGGTGCACGTGTTGCTATCACCGAAAGGGCGGATAGACCGGCAAGTTTACTGGCTGCAGGGGATACTTCCCCTGACTGTATTGTTGATTTCGTTTGCCGCCCTCGGGGCATGGCTTGTGCCCAACAGCATGGGACTGGGAATATTGCTCGCCCCCTTTCCCTTGATATACCCGTATTTCGCAGTTTCGGCCAAGCGGTTTCACGACCTGAATCTCTCTTCGTGGTGGCTGATCGCCTTCCTAGTCCCCTTCGTTGGATTGATTGCCCCCTTCGTGCTTGGCTTTTGGCCGGGTGTTGATGGCGCAAATCGTTTCGACAGGGCCGTCAAGGCAGGCTAGCCCTGCCAGGAAGTCTCCGATGGTGGCGCCCTGGCGCATCACCCCAGACTGCCAATAAACTCCCGCCACGCCGCAACACACTTTTCCGGTTCCGAGTGCTGCACGTAGCCCGTGGCGTTGGGAATGGCCACAAGCCGGCAGTTGGGCATCAGGGCAGCCATACCGGAGGCGCGGTCGGGCGTGTTGGTGTCGCTGTCCCCCGCCACCAAGGCAAGGGCCGGCGTGTTGATTTCCGGCAATATGGGAGACAGGTCCTGGTTGGCCAGGTAGGCCAGAGTCTCCATAACAACCTGCGGCGACGCCTGCATCATTTGCTGGGCATACCACTGGTTGTGGGCGGCAGTGGCGGGATTGGGGGCGATGCGCCGGTCCGCTGAGCGCCGGACCCACTCCTCGATGCCCTGTTCCTTGATGAGGTTGTAGTTTTCCAGGTACTGGGGAGCGCCGACAAACTTGTAGGGCGAGGTGCAGGTGGTGACCGTGTGCAGGCGCTCGGGGTGTTCCCAGGCGAACTGAAGGGCTACGGTGCCGCCGACGGTCTCCCCGATGAGATGCACCTTGTCCAGTTCCAGGTGGTCCAGCAGGCCGAGGAGGTCGGTGGCAAAGCCGCCCAGCGACCAGTCGTAACCGGCGGGCGGCACCGTGGAACGGCCAAAGCCTCGGGCGTCCAGCCGAATCACGCGGTACTGGCGTCCCAGGAGGGGCACCCAGGCGTACCAGAGGCGGCCGTTCTTGGCGTTGCCGTGGTGCAGCACGATGGTTTCCGGGGTGCGCCAGGGGTCGGTGTAGTCGTCATCGTCGTAGTACATTTCCAGGTTGTCTGGGAGCATTACTGTGGGCATGGTTGCCTCCTTTTTCTGATAGGGGTCTATTTACTCTTGTTATTGTGGTGTTCAGATCCTAAATTGCTCAGGTGTCAGAAAAGTTTCGGTTCCTGAACAGGTCTTTATGCCAGGAGTTTGGGCCCTTGGGCAGGCTCGGGGTGGCATGTCTCCTGGGGTGGGTTAATTGCGCAGGCTTATGGTTCGAATTGCACCGAGTACTTGTAGAGGAGGGCGGGTATTAAACCCGCCCAATAGCTCTTACTTTAAAGTGCTGTCGCTTACCTAAACCCGCATATTCGGCGGGAGCAAATTCGGGATGGCGTCATTTATTGGGTAGGTCTCATCGCACTTGGCACAGTGGAGCGAGCCTTCCATAACTTCGTCATCCTCTTCCGTTTCCACGTTCAGGGTCAATTCGCCCTTGCAGACCGGGCAGGCCAGTATTTCCATCAAGTCCTTCTTCAATTTTCCTCCTATGCCTGGCCCTCCGGCCGGGGATCTTAACCGGAAAGGCTGCTTTCAAACAGGGCGCTCAGCACGTCGGCCAAGCCAAATATTACCACGCCGATGACCAGCAAAGCCGTAGGGCCGGTGAGCGTTGACCGCGCTTTAGCCCAGGTGCCCAAAGCCTCAGTGCTATTGGCGCTGCGGGGCGCCGGGCGCCGGAACCTCATTACGGCGAACATGTACAGGGCTAGGGAAACCTTCAGGACCAACACAGCGATGTAGGAGACGGTAACCGTATCCGCAGTCAAGCGGCTGGCGGTCAGGATGACTCCGGTAACCACAAGAACAATGATGGCCGTGTTAACGAGGCTGCGGAATTCTTCGCCGATGGCCCGGTGAGTTTCCTGGCCTGGGTCTCTGCGCTGGAAAGCAGGCCGCAGAACCATCAGGTAGAATATCCCGCCTCCCACCCAGGCCACAGCGCCCAGGGCGTGGGCCCAGCGTATGGCCAGCAGTATCCAGTCGAGGACGTTCATGAGTTCGGTTAATTATCCCAGCGCTTTTTCTATATTGATTAAGGCTCGGACATTCTATTTGCGGAAGTATGTTGGGTCAATTGACTGCGGCTGATCTTGACTCCAGCCTCTCCCAAGTTACAATCCCACCATAAAGGTTAAGAAAACAAAATTGAGAAAGCAAAGCCACCGTTCCGTAGGAGGTCAGAAAAATGAGACTGGAAGGCAAGGTAGCGTTAATCAGCGGCGGGGCCAGGGGCCAGGGAGCCGTGGAAGCCCGCATGTTTGCCACCGAGGGAGCCCGGGTGGTCATCTGCGATGTTCTGGAAGACGAGGGCCGGCAGGTTGAGGCGGAAATCAACGAGCAGGGCGGGGAGTGCCTCTTCCTGCGGCTTGACGTGACCAGCGAGGCCAACTGGCAGGACGTGGTGGCCGCCACGGTGGAGCGGTTCGGCAAGCTGGATATCCTGGTCAACAACGCCGGCATCTACCGGACCGAGACGGTGGAGGAGACCAGCGAGGAATTGTGGGACCTGGTAATGGACATCAACGGCAAGGGCGTGTTCCTGGGCACCAAGGCCGCCATTCCGGAGATGCGCAAGGCCGGCGGCGGTTCGATTATCAACATCTCCTCCGTGGCAGGGCTGGTGGGCAGCGAAATGTCGGCAGCCTATGGTTCTTCCAAGGGCGCGGTGCGAATCTTCACCAAGGCCACAGCCATCCAGTACGCCGGAGACAAGATCAGGGCTAACTCCATCCACCCGGGGATTATCGAGACGCCCATGACTGCACATATGCTGGCCGACGCGGAGCAGTACCAATATCGGCTGGGCCGCACCCCCATCGGTCGCATCGGCAGGCCCGAGGACGTGGCTTTCGGGGCGCTGTACCTGGCCTCTGATGAATCTTCCTTCGTCACCGGCAGCGAGTTGGTGATAGATGGGGGAAGGACGGCGATGTAGGGCAAGCGGGCAGAAGGGGGTTAGGTTAATTCGGATGCGCTACCTTGGCAGAACAATCCCCTTCTTCTTGCGGTTATTCTGAGAAACACAGCTACGAAGAATCCCAACGATTCCCGATAAAGTTGTTTCCTGAACGCAAGATACAAACCTTCAGCGGTTGGGATTCTTCGCTCCGCTCAGAATGACAGCAAAAATGGTTTGGCCAAGATTTGAGGGGCAGGTTTGCCAGCCTGCCCCTCAAACATTGTTGAGCCTAACTGCTGGTTGCTGTCCGTCTACCGGCCCATGGCGTAGTTGTCGCGGCGCAGGTCGGCGCCGACCTCCAGGGTTTCCTTCTCACGGTCAATGGTGATGGCGTTGAGGGCGCCCATGCGAGGCGTCCAATCGTCCCATACTTCCACCACGTGGCCACGCCGTTCCAGTTCCCTGATTGTATCCGGGTCGATGCGGCCCTCGGCAGACATGGCAGCCGGGGTATAACCGTGAGGGAAGCCGGAATCGGGGAAGCTCCAGCTTGCCACCCGGGGCTGCTCGATGGCCTGCTGCACGTCCATGCCGAACTCCACCACATTCAGGAAAAGCTGGGTCATGGACTGGCACTGCACGTCGCCGCCGGGGGTGCCGAAGGGCATCCATAGCTTGCCGTCGCGGAATGCCATGGCCGGATTAGGAGTCAGCCTCGGCCGCTTGCCAGGCATCAGGCAGGCCGGATGGTCCGGGTCCAGCCAGGTCTGGTAGCCGCGGGTGGACATGGCGAAGCCCAGGCCCGGGACCACTGCCGCACCACCAATGCCGTCACTGGGCGTGGCCGAGAAGCCGTTGCCCCACTGGTCCACCACGCAGATGTAGCTGGTGTCAGGTTCCGCTGCGCCGACTACCGGTTCGGGGTGGGCCGGCTTGGCCCTGTTTCCGTTTTGGCCGTTGTAGGCCTGGTAGGCGTGGGGGTCGCCGGCACGGGGCATGTCCGGACAGGCGCGGGTCGAGTCTATTTCCTGGCGACGCTGGGCGGCGTAGTCCGGGTCCAGCAGGCCCTTCATCGGCACGTCCACAAAGTCGGGGTCGCCATAGTATGAATGGCGATCGGCGAAGGCCAGCTTCAGGGACTCGATAACAGTGTGCAGGTAATCTGGGCTGTTGTGGCCCATACCTTGCAAATCGAAGCCGGACAGGATGCCCAGGGCCTGAATTGTGGTGGGGCCCTGGCACCAGGGGCCGCAGGTGAAGACCTCAATGCCCTTATAGTCGATGGATACGGGCGGTTCCAGCTTGGCCTCAAAGGTAGCCATATCTTCCAGGGACAGCAACCCGCCCTGGGCCCGATTGAACTCCACCATCTTGTGGGCCATATCGCCCCGGTAGAAGAGGTCGCGAGCGGCCTGGAGACCCATAACCCGCCCCCTGCCGGAAGCCGACCGTTCCGCCGAGACCAGCCGCTTGAAGGTGTTGGCCAGATCTTTCTGAATGGCGACATCTCCCGTGCCCAGAGCCTTGCCGCCGGGGAAGAAGACCTCCATGGTGGCGGACCAGTGCCTGGGGTCTCGACTGCCGTTGGAGAACTTGTCCTCCTCACGGGCCAGGGCGCGGTGGAGGGAGTGGGGAATGGGAAAACCTTTTTCCGCCAGTTCCAGGGCCGGGGCGACCACCTGCTCGAAGGTCATGGTGCCGTACAGCTGTATGGCCGACAGCCAGGCATCGGCGGCCGAGGGAGTTACCGTCCGCAGCACGCCGCCGGGCAATACGCCGCCGTGGTTGGCGTTGAAGTAGTCCACGCTGGCGGCCTTGGGCCAGCGGCCGAGACCGGCGATGGTGGCAGTCTCGCCCCGCGCCGCGTCGTGGACCATGATGGGGGCCACGCCGCCGAAGCTGGTGTACTGGGGAAGAGTCACGTTAATGACAATGCCCGCGGCCACACCGGCGTCGGTGGCATTGCCGCCCTGCTCCAGGATGCGGTAGGCAGCGGCGGTGGCCAGGTAATGGCCGGTGGCGGCCATGTGAGTCCTGCCAGCGATTAGGGGCCGATAAGTCCTGAGTCCCAGCGCCATAACAATACCTCCGGGCAATTTACTTTCCACGAAGGAACACGAAGAATCACTAAGTTGTTTTAACTCAGATCGGCCAGCCGGGGCATAATATCGTTGGCCAAGGACGTTATCGAGTTGACCCAGCCCTTCTCGGGCTGCCATTCGTGGCCCATGGCCAGCAGGACGCCGAAGCCTCCCACGTCCTTGTGCATCTGCCGTACCTTTTCGGTTACCTCGTCGGGGCTGCCGACAATCCAGACGTTGTCCACCAGGTATTCAGGAGTTATATCCTCGTCGGGAATATCCGGGTCAGTCTTGAACAGGCTGATACCGTTCACGTGCTTCATAAGGGGAATGAAGTACTGTCGGAAGTCGCGGCCGATGGTGCCGTTCAGGACTTCTTCCCTGGCTTGCTCCGTGGTTTCGGCGACGTAGATTTCCCGGGCGATCCGCCATTCCGACCGGTCGGGTGTCCTGCCGGTACGTTCTGCCCCGGTCTCCACCGCTTCCCAGTGGCTTTTCAGGGTAACCGGCGGCACCAGGTTTATGCTGAGCGGCAGCCATCCCTTTTCCCCGGCCAGCAGCAACGTATCAGACTTGGCGGATACGCCGGCCACGCCGATGGGCGGGTGCGGCTTCTGGTAGGGGGTGACGTGGAACCGCAGCCCGATTTCGGGTACGGGCTCAGGTATGGCGAATTTCCAGTATGGGTGCTGGTAGGAACCGGGCTGGGGGTTCTCCCACATATCCAGGATCAGCTCGATCATGTCGCGGGACATGCCCCGGTGCGCTCCTTCGGAAGTGTCCATACCGAAGACCTCGAAGTCACCAGGAAACCCGCCGGAGCCGACCCCCCAGTAAAAGCGACCACGGGCCAGGTTGTCCAATTGGGCAACGCGGTGAGCGATCATGAAGGGGTCGTGGTTGGGCATGCAGGTGACGCCGGTCCCGAAGATCAGGTTCCTGGTGCGAGACAGGGCAGCGGCGATAAACTGGTCGGGGGCGGGAATGTTCTCCCAGACGGTAGTGAAGTGCTCACCGATCCAGGCTTCGCTGTAACCCAGCCGGTCCAGGGTTTCCATCTGGACCAGGTCCGATTCCAGGGTGGCTGAGAGGTCGGAGCCAGGAGGATGGAGGGGCATCGTAAAGTAGCCTAAGCGCATAACCGCCTCCTGCGAGCAGCATTGGAACAGGGAGCATTGAAAATAGCGGGTCCAGCCGGAATTTGCGTAAGTATAAGCCATTGGTTAGGGGGAATCAAAGGCGAAGTAGATACCGCAGGGCAGGGCCGGTCATTCCGGCTCAACGCCGGAATCCAAAAGGAGTGGGTAGGGTCAACTTCGCAGGAAGGGGTGAGTCCTGGCTTCCGGGTTTCGTCAGAAGTACCATTTGAGGACCAGAATAGTCCCTCAAGGCTTTACGGCCGCTGGGGGCAACTCAAACTGGTTATCGGTGGTAGTTTCCCATACAATCAACTGCGATTAAGGGCCCAAACCAAAACCAGCAGACGGACATGCCATGCTTTACGAAGTGGAAGTTAACGACGGGGGCAACAGCCCCATGGCCCTGGACCGCGTATTTGATTTATTGGAAGACCCGAAGCCCGTCAACAGGCTAATTACAGCAGATCCGGCCGGAGAAGATGGTTGGTGCCAGGTTACGGGCTGGGACGACGGCGGCCCCTGCCAGGCGATGGCAGCGTTGGCAGAGGATTCGGGAGACGGGGTAATACTTTTGATATTTGGCGGCAACGAGGGCATCCGGCTTAAGTCCGACGGAGACGAGACAACCTGGGACCTGGATAATGCCAGCCAGTGGGGAGAACCCTGCCTGATGCTGGACAAGGCCACTGAGTACGGGGAGTAACGGCCTTCTTGCCAACGGCAGGCCCCAACTCCTCAACACTGGACGGCCCTGCCTCAATGTAGCGCAATAGGGAGGGCAACCACCAAGGTTGACCCTGCGATTCCCATCGTTTAGACCACCTGTAAGGGACAATACCTTGGTACTATGCGCGCGGTACAATACGTCGTAGTTAATTGCCCACGGGATTAATTAACCTCCGTGATTAACTTCCGCGAATAACCTCCGCAGCTTTATCGTCCACCTGTCTGGTTGCTCTCTTCCTCCTCCAATCGAAGTGCAAAGCTCTCCTCCGGCGAACTAACCAGCCTTCTCCGGCCAATGAGGGCAAAATAGAGCAGGCCTGCGGCGAAGAATATCCCGCAGCCGTAGAGGCCCATCCGGTAGTCGGTGTTGACGAACAGGAAGACCAATGTGGCGCAGGCGATTAGTCCTGCCACCAGTGCCCCAACGTTACCCAGGGGACTCCTGTAGGGGCGGTACAGTCCCGGGTATCGCCGACGCAGGCGCAGGAAGGAGACCATCTGCATGATGTAGGCGATGACCGCGCCAAACACTGCCATGTTCAACAGCACCGCCGCCACTGGCACATGTCCTCCCACCCATCCTTCGCCAAACTCGATAAACAGGGCTACCAGGTACCCGACGACCGCGCCCGCGATTAACGCCAGGTGGGGAGTCCTGGTCCGGCTTTGGGTCAGCGAGAGCCACCTGGGCAGGTAGCCGGCCCGGGAAAGAGAAAATATCCGGCGCCCGTAGGCATAAATGATGGCATGAAAGCTGGCCACCAATCCGCCCACTACCATCAAGGCCGGGATCGCAGGGTTCACGCCGAAGCCAAATAGAGTCCCAGCGGCCTGTCCGGACGATTCGATTGTGGCCCATCCGCGCGGGAGGCCGGCGCCAAGCAACAGGGTCAGCGCCGCTGCGACGATTAGGGTCAAAATACCCCAGCGAAGGGCTCGGGGCATATCAACGCCCGGACGTCGGGATTCCTCCGCTGCCAAGGGAAGTTGTTCAATAGCCAGAAAAAACCAGATAGCAAAGGGCAAGGCCTGAGCTATGCCTATCCAGCCAGTCGGCAGCCAGTCGGAATTGGCCGTTCCTGGCACGATGGCAAGGGCCCTGTCCCAACTGAAACGGAAAGCCCAATCGGCCCAGAACAGGACCAGGATTCCCAGGGCCAAAAAAGTGAGGACCATGGCTACGCGGAAGGTAGCCGCCACTCCGGCGATGTTGATGCCGACGAAAATTACGTAGAAGCCAAGCCACCAGACGGGCGCGGCAATGTCTATCCCGAAGAGCGAATTGACGGCGGTTCCGACGTAGCCGCCGATGGCCACCACGATTACGGCGGGGGTCAGTACATATTCTATGAACTCGGCCAGGCCAGTAATGTACCCACCCCAGGGGCCAAGAGCAGTGCGGGCAAAGGAGTAGGCGCCGCCGGCGTGCGGCATGGCCGGAGACATTTCGGCAATGGAGAAGCAAATACAGAGGTACATAAGGGCAGCGATAGCCGTAGCCACTACCATACCGCCGTAACCACCCACCGCCAGGCCGAACTGCCAGCCAAAAAAGTTCCCCGAGATTACGGCTCCTACCCCCAATGCCCACAGGGACCACGCGCCGGCGTACCGCCGCAGCTGGCGTCTTTCAAAGTAGCGGTCGTCAACGACGTTGTAGGCCACAGAGCGCGGGCTTCCCTTTGGTTGAACGTCCATCGGACTCTTCCCAGCCGTCAAATTTGAGAACCCGGGATTACATGCCGAAATACATCGTATAACAAGTCTCACTCTTCGAAGAATAGCATTAAGGACCAAAGGATTTTAACTGAAGGATGGAATCCGAAACACAATTGTAACTAACCCATAGTATCATTTTCACATGTATTCGATATCCCACTATCGTGTAATCGCAAAATTGTTGCAGGGCAAAGTTTTATGATTCCTTCAATAGCCAATGCGGACGCTGCCCACAGCGAGTACCTGGACGCCAACGGCGCCGTCCTCCCCAGCTACCAGGACGCCCTCGGGGCCATTGAATCCATGGGCAGGGAACGACTGGGTGAACTGTGGCGGCAGGGCAGGCGGATTGCGGAACTGGACGGATTTACCTTTCTTCTGGACCCCAAGGTGTTCCGCACCATACCCACCGACTGGATTCCTCGCATCATTCCTCAATCGGAGTGGGAGGTCATCGGCGCCGGCGTTACCCAGCGACTGAAGGCCCTTAACCTGTTTCTGTTGGACCTGTACACGGGCCAGCAGCAAGTAGTCCCCGACGACGTTATCTACTCCTGCCAGTACTACTATCCCGAGTACCAGGACTTCCGGCCGGCCAAGGACGTCTTCGTCCACATTTACGGCATTGACCTGGTGCACCTGGAGGATGGCCGCTACGTAATCCTCGAGGACAACCTCCGCATCCCCTCAGGCATCTCTTACCACTTGAAGTCCCTGGATATGGTCAAAGAGCTTATGCCCGAACTGGCGGCGGGTTACGACGTAGTGCCCTACGACATTAAGGAGACATACCACGACCTGTTTACATCCCTTTGCGATGTAGATGACCCGGTGTGCGTACTGCTGTCGGACAGCAAGTTCGGGGCCGCATTCTTTGAGCATCGCTACCTCTCCCAATTGCTGGGCATACCCCTGGTAGAAGGGTCCGATTTGTACGTGGGGTATGACGGTCGCATTCTGGCCAAGGGCCTGGATGGAGACTTTCCGGTGGACCTGATTTACCGGCGGGTCGAGGACCTGGAAATTTTTGTCCCCGGTCTTACCGACGCCTACCTGAATGGCAAGGTGGTGCTGGTCAACGGAATGGGCACCAGCGCCGCCGATGACAAGCTGGTGTTCAAGTGGGTGCCAGACATGATCCGCCACTATCTTGGCGAAGAACCAATCCTGGGCCAGGCGGTGAGTTACGACCTGCAAGATGCAGAGAGCAGGAAGTATGTACTGGACAATCTGGAGAGCCTGGTAGTGAAGACCAGGCAGGGTTACGGGGGTCTGGGCGTCTATATCATGCCCGACCTGGGCGGAGAGTTCCGCACCAACCTGGCCCGCAGCATTATTGAGCAGCCCCGAATGTTCATAGCACAGGAAACTCTTGACTTTTCCAAGCATCTGATATTCGATGAGGAGAGCGGCGAGTTTGAGGAACGATACATCGACCTCCGTGTGTTCGCCGTGCAGAATGGACGCGGCGAGGCCACTGCATTCCCGGGCGGCCTTACCAGGGTGTCCCGAGCCAACAGCCGGATTACCAACAACTCATCGGGTGGCCTATGCAAACCAACCTGGGTAGTTCGCTAAGTGATACGGGCACTGTGGCCGCATACAGCTATGCTGCGCGTTATATCTACAGCGAAGTGGTAGTGCAGAACGACAACTTCCTCCGGCTGACGGCCGGCGCCGACTTTTACCAAACTCCCCTGACAACCTCGGTGCTGACCCGACCGGCCTGCCGCCAGGTTCTTTTTCAGGACGCCTACGACAATACTACCCATCGCGCCAGGGTAACCACACCCCACCAGGAATTTACCATTATGGCCATCGGCGTGGTACGGTTCCGCAGCCCCCCCGCCTACCCGTGGGAAGTTCCCCTGGGTTCTCCGACCAATGATTGGTCCCTGGACCAATATCTGACCCCAACGCCCCTGGTCGACCCGGACCGACTGGTCAACCACGCCAGGGACATTACCGGAGCATCCAAGGGCTTGATGGAGTCTGTGGAGAAAATAACGGACTGGGTTTATCGGAATATTCAATACGTAAGCCAGAGTACTACGGTGGCAACCACCGCCGAAGAAGTCCTGGACAGCGGGGTGGGAGTTTGCCAGGACATGGCCCATCTGACCATGGGTTTGCTGAAAGCCCTGGGGATTCCCTGCCGTTACGTTTGCGGGCTGCTGACCACCGAGGTGGGAGAGACCCACGCCTGGCTGGAATTCATGCACCCAGAATTGGGATGGATTCCCACGGACCCCACCCGCGGCCAGGCGGTGACGCGCCACGGGGAGTTGATCAAGTTAGCCGTGGGGCGGGACTACACGGAAGCTGCCCCCGTAGTTGGAAGCTTCGTTTCCAAGGGCGCCGGTTGGCTGGATGTGGCCAGGGCGCAGGTGCAATTCGACAAGGACTCGGTAACCTTTGACGACGCCCTTGGATTGATTGAGGGTCAGCACTAAATCGCTGCATGAGGCGTGAGGAAGGTTCTTCCATGATGGAACCCAGATCGTTGGCAATAGCCCCGGACAGCTGGCTGACCGATTCGCGCGTATATAACCTGATTTGGCTGGGGCGCTGGCTGGAGCGAGCGGAAGGGATTTCGCGGGCAGTAAACGCTGCGGCGCGGTCGGTGGAAACGGGCAACGCAAAGGGAAGCAGCCTGGGGGAGACCCTGCTTCCCGTGGCAAATACCTTGGGGATTACTGTTGGCGAACAGGAAACACTGGCCGAAGAGATTATCCTGAATAACCAGACGTCCTCGGTGCTGCACTGCCTTTCGGGCGCCCGTTTGAATGCAACCCAGGTGGCGCCGGTGGAACTTATCCGGGCTATATCCGACGCCATAATGGCCCTGGAGCAAATGGACGCAGACTCCCTGAAATCTGCCGATATGGTAGCAAGCGTTACCGACAGCATCGCCGACCACATCGCCCAAATTTACGAGGAAATTGAGCACCGCTGGTTTGGGTCGGAGTCGCTGACGGAAGAGGAAGTCTTCCACCGCTTTGTGCAGCAGTAGTATTTCGGGATTGCGGCATGGAAAGGGAAACCATGAGCGTTTACCGGTTTGAGGCACAGTTGGAAAGGCCCGATATGCGGGGCGCCTGGACTTTCGTGAGAGTGCCCTTCAGCGTAGCCGACGAATTCGGGATAAAAGGACAGGCGCCGGTCAAAGGCACCATTAACGGCGTTCCTTACGAAAACTCTCTGCTGCCCCAGGGCGAGGGAGTACACATCCTGGTGGTCAAGAAGGAAATAAGGGACAAGGCCGGGGTCACCGCCGGAGATGTGGCTGAGGTAACCCTGGAGCGGGACACCATACCCCGCCAGGTGGATATACCTTCCGAGTTAACCGAAGCGCTCCAATCCCAACCCGCTGCCCTGGAGATATTCGAGAAGGTCTCCTACTCCCACCGCAAGGACTTCTGCGACCATGTGGTCAGGGCCAAGCGGCCGGAGACCCGGACCCGCCGCGCCGTAAAGTGCGTTGAACTGCTGTTGGAAGCAGAAGCCCGGGGCCTTACCCCCCGCTACCGGCGTTCCAACAGTTGACTGGTCAAGCTACCTTGATTCCGGCGTTGCCGGGAAGAATTGACTCCAGCTACGTGAAGCGTTGGTAGTACACACTTTTGTTCCGGTACCGGCTGCTACCCCCTGGCGTCCAATCTATCCAAGTTGCCATTCCACGCCAGAATCTGCTGGTCTGCCGTTATCAGGCGATGGCCGGCCAAGGCGGTGGCTACAATGATGCGATCTGCGGGGTCGGGATGGAAGTCAGGCAGGTCGTAGGCTCGAATTCCGATCTCACCATTGACGGGAATCTCGATCGTACCTTGGCTCAGTTGTTCCTGTCGCCATAGGCTAACATTTCCCGGGTACCTTAGACGGCCCTTGTTCCGCAGCATGGCTATTTCCCAAAATGAAATAGCCGACACTCCTAACTGTCCAGAGTCCCAAGCGTCTTGAATTTCGACCCGTGAGTTCTCTCCCAACCTTGCATCACCAGCCCTGAGCCAGAGAACTACATGCGTGTCGAGAAGGATCACGGGTAAAGGACCCGGTCAGGGTCTGTGTCAACTTCCCAATCAACATCTATTGGGGAGATGATGTCGCCAAGAATTTCGAGCTTGCCGCGATCGATGCCAAACAGTGTCTTGGGTCTTTCCACGTACGCCACCAACCTGGCTGTCGGACGACCATTCTTGGTGATAACTATTTCCTCGCCGCTTTCCGCTACTTCATCCATCAGCTTCAAGCATTTGGCCTTGAATTCTGATGCCTTGATGGTTTTCGGGCCGTTTGGGGTTCCTTTCTCAACAACCATTTAGTCTCCATACCATTACTAATTGTGTCCTTAGTTTACCATAGTCATGACTATGGTCGAGTCATCTCTTCTTTTTCAACTACTGGTTCACCAACTTTGGATAAGTGCTATAGTGGCGGAGGTTTTTCAGCATTCCTTTCATCAACGCTACACCTACGAGTACATAGAACAGGAACCCCATGAATTCGCCTGCCCCGCAGCAAGGAAACTGAATGGCCCAACGCTTGGCACCTCTAAAGGGCAGGGCTCCGGGCCTTTCCAAATTTCAGGCCTTGCGTTACCCCAATTTCCGCTGGTTCTGGATTAGCACCTCAGGTCAGGCCATGGCCCAGGGGATGCAGTTTCTCATCCTCGGCTGGTTGGTCCTGGACCTGACTGGGTCGACTTCCCAACTGGGCCTGACCGTCTTCTTCTACGGAATCCCCAACCTCACCCTGGTCCTGTTCGGCGGCATATTTGCCGACCGGGTTAACCGAAAGAAGCTGCTGCTGTTTTCCCAGTTTGGCGTCACGTCAATCATGTTCGTCGTAGCCACACTGACAGTTATGGATTTGATAGCGGTGTGGCAGATTTTCGCTGCCTCATTCCTGCTAGGCACCCTGCACGCCTTCAATATGCCAACCCGCCTAGCCATGGTGGTAAACCTGGTGGAGCGGGAAGACATCATGAATGCGGTGGTGCTCAACGCCGGAGTAATGAACGCCGGCAGGATCATCGGCCCCGCCCTGGCCGGGTTCGTAATCGACCTGGTTGACACGGGGGCGGCGCTTTTCCTGAATGCCTGCTTCTTCCTGGCCGCTGCCAGTTGCGTGTTGATGATCCGCAATTTTAAACAGGATACGCCGGAACGACGCAGAGACATTATGGGGGCGCTGCGGGACGGGCTGGTCTACTTTTGGAAGACGCCGCTGGCCCTCACAATAATAGGCATAGGATTCTCGTTCGGGTTCTTCGGGATGCCCCACGTCCAGGTTATGCCGGCCTTCGCCCGGGAGGTGCTGAGCGCCTCGGCGGCGGAAGCCGGATTGTTGATAACTGCCGCGGGAATAGGTTCGCTGGTAGCAAATGTGCTGCTTGCCCTTCTGGGCAACTACCGTCGGAAGAACCTGCTGCTCATTGGTTCTCTGCTACTGTTCGAGGGCAGCCTGTTCGTGTTTGCCTGGTCGCAATGGTTCTGGGTTTCCTGGGTCATCCTGTTCTTCGTGGGAATGGGCAGCATCAGCTACATTTCCCTGGGAACCACGATGCTCCAGTTATCTGTGCCTCAAGAATTGCAGGGACGGGTGATGAGCATTTGGTACGCCTCCGCCGGCTTCATGTTTATCGGGTCCCTGCCCATGGCCCTGGTGGCAGACCTGGTCAGTTGGCCAATAGCGCTGGCCGGCGGGGCCACCATCTGCTTTGCCTTTACCCTGTGGCTGGCCATCGCGCGGCCAACCCTGCGCCGGCTGGAGACTTAAGCCCGGGGCAGAGAGGCTATCGACCCAATGGTGAGTCCGTCAGCTTGTAGGAACGGGCTGGGTTGTCGCTCTGCCGGTGTCATACTCTCAGGGTACGTCCGCTCCGCTAACGCGCAGGCAACGCGGACACCTGGGCAAAGACTCCAAAATGGTCTGACAGCTTTTCCCCTTCCTGGATATTGCTGATGGCACCCAGGGATTCCAACTCCAAGTCCGCACTGAGCGCGATGTGGTCGATACTGCCGCGCCCCTCAAGAGCAAGGCCGGACGTAACGATTGCCAGGCTAGGAGCAAAGGCCTTTTGGAGCGCCAGTTGAAGTTCCCTGGGGGCGCGGCTGCCTTTGCCGATACGCTGATTGAAGTCCCCAATTACTATCAGGCGCCACCCCGCCATACGATCCAGAATTTCAGTCAGGCCGACCAGGTAATCCCCGTGGTCCTCCCACCGCTTCTTGCGCTTATCCCTGGTCCGCGACCCAAACCAGGGTATACAGATTCCGACAACGGTGACCTGACCCAAGGATGTCTGGGTTGAACCGGCAACGAACCGCCCCGGCGGCAGCGAATCCATCCCCACATCATCAACCTGCTCCCACGGATTCTTCGACCAGAGCATGACTTTCCGCCTGCCCTCGGTTATCGCGTACCCGTAGTCGGGTTGAGAGCAAATCGTGTAACCCTGCTGTGAAAACAACCGATGATCAGCCTCGGTGAGGCAGGCAACCTCGGGACTATGTTGACTGATGCGGGTGAGGATTTCCGGGGTTCTCCGCGAGCGGGGCGTGGCCCATTCGACATTCCAGTTGACTATGCTCAGAGACATCGGCCCTATTGCCATCCCTTCCAGCGTCCCGATTCGCTAACTCGCCAGCAACTCCTTCAACTGCGCGTCAATAAACGCCGTGTCCACAGGGTTGCGGCCCGGGCCACCGCCGGTGTGACCCCAGATAGTCTCTATGACCCGCAGCTGGGCGTTGGGCATCAGGCCAACCTCGATTTCGTTGTCCTCGGGCGGGAAGTATTGGTCGGTCCGAGACGGCATGACAAGGGCCCTGGCTTTGATGGCGCCCAGCGCTTTCTCAAAGTCGCCTTCGTACAGTGGGTTGTCGCTGATATCTCCGGCCTGCCAGGTGGACACCATGGCCAAGATGTCGTTGGCGTCCAATTGCAGATAGCGACCCTCCCAGGCGGTAATCAGGTAGTCCTCCAGCGACGAAAACCCCAGGTCCAGGTACACCTTGTCCCGGTAGAAAGCCTGGGACGGCGCCCAGCCGGCATAGACCCTCGCCATAGCCCGCAGGCCCTTGCTGGGCGGTGTGTCGTACCAGCCGTTGTTCCAGGCATCGTCGGAGCGGAGGGCGGCCTTGACACCCTCCAGGAAAACGAAGTTATGCCGGGAAGTCTTCGCCGAACCGCACCAGGGGGCTATCCGCTCCACCATGTCGGGAAAGAGCGCGCCCCAGTGGAAGGACTGCTGCGCTCCCATGGAAAAGCCGCACACCAGGGCGATGCGTTCGATGCCAAACTGCTCCGTCACCAGGCGATGCTGGAAGCTGATGTTGTCGTAGTAGGTGATTGTGGGGAAACGTGCACGGTCGTAGGGCTCCGGCGTATTGCTTGGCGACGAGGAAATGCCGTTGCCGAAGAGGTTGGGCACGATGATGAAGTAGCGGGACGGGTCCAGCGCCATCCCCGGCCCGATCATGGGTTCGTTGGCCTCGTGGCGGGAAGAAAAGAAGGTGGGGAAGACGACGACGTTGTCCCGGTTGGCGTTCAGTTCTCCGTAGGTTTGGTAAGCCAAGCGCGCACCCCGCAACCGCAGGCCGCACTGGAGGTCCACATCGCCCAGTTCAAAAATCTTGTAGTCGCTCATCTCGTTGCCTCCCGCGGGTTGAATAGCGGCGTCAAATGCAATAGGCTTGCAGCAATTCTAACAGCGGGGAGGTCCATCATGTTGAACAAGGTCCACCACGTTACCTATGCCGTTAACAGCATTGCCGACATAGCCGATTACATGGAGAACAACTTCGACCTCAAACCCATCCGCGTCGACGAGTTCACCGACCGGGGCTTCAAGTCAGTCCTCTTCCAGGTCGGGGAGACCCTGGTGGATTTCTTCGAGCCAATCCGGGATGACACGGCCCTGGCTCGCCAGCTACGCGAGACCGGCCCCGGAGTAATGCACGTGGCCTGGGGCGTGGACGACATAGACGGCATGTTCAACGACCTGAAAGCCAAGGGCAACGAATTGCGGGGCGAGGGACCGTCGGTCAGTCCTTACGGCTACAAAACGGCCAACATCGAGCCAAGCAGTTCCCACAACATCCATTTCCAGTTGGCCGAGGGTGAGCACAGCTAGGGAATCTGTGATTAGGTCATTGGCATTGCCGCGAAAGCCGAAAGCTCCGGGCGGAGCTTAGTTGCGTCAGCTATGCAATGAGCGCCGGCACCCCCAATCCTAACCTTCCTCCTTGACGGGGAAAGGGACTTGTTCAGGGGTTCCTCGGGTTCTTCGGCTTCACTCAGAACCACATGCTATTGGGATAGTTGGCACACCAAACCCAGGATGCAGTTTCCCGGAAATCAAAACATTTCATTACCTGCCACAGGAGAGCCCACAACCATGAAGCAAAGCGTTGATCGTATCCTCACAACCCACACGGGCAGCCTGCCCCGGCCCCCGGATATGCTGGGCTTGCTGGTAGAAGAGCAGCAGGCACGCCTGTCGGAGCGGGCCCAACTGGACTCGTCGGTTCGCGCCGCCGTGCAGGAGGTGTTCAACCGGCAGGTGGAGACTGGCCTGAACGTTGTCAACGACGGCGAGCAAGGCAGGGTGGACTACACCGTCTACGTTAAAGACCGGCTAACCGGCTACGACGGCGAAAGCACACCCCTGGGCGGCATGACCAGCGATGTGGAGTTTCCCGAACTGGCCGAGTTGCTGAAGCCCTTTGCCTCTCCCTTCCAGGTACGGCCCACCTGCACCGGTCCCATCGAGTGGATGGACTGGCCGGCAGTGGAGATGGATATTGAGAATCTGCGGGCAGCTTCCACCGGTGCAAGCGCCGAGGAGGTCTTTATGACCTCGCCGTCGCCTGGTCAGATTTCCAGGTTCCTGCACAACGAGTACTATCCCACCGACGAGGCGTACATCTACGCCCTGGCCGAGGTGATGAAGCGTCAATACAACGCCATCTCAGAGGCCGGTTTCCTGCTGCAACTGGACTGCCCCGACCTGGCCCTGGGTCGCCATCAACTCTTCTCCCACCTGAACACCCTGGAGGAGTTTCGCGCAGTAGCCGAGATACATGTTGAGGCGCTGAATTACGCGGTGGCCGACATACCCGCCGACCGGATGCGGATGCACATCTGCTGGGGCAGCACCCTGGGCCCCCATCATACCGACGTGCCCATCAGCGACGTCATCGACATTGTGCTGAAGGCCAAGCCCGCCGCCGTGGCTTTCCCCGGGGCGAACGCCCGCCACGAGCACGAGTGGAAGGTGTGGCGCGATTTCATCAAGTTACCCGAGGGCAAGATCATCATCCCCGGCGTCATCGACTCCACCTCCAACTTTGTTGAACATCCCGAGGTGGTGTGCGACCGCCTCGTCCGCTACGCCGGGGTGGTAGGCAAGGAGAATATGATCGCCGGCGTGGACTGCGGGTTCGGCACCTTCGCCGGTCGCCTGCAGGTGGATTCCAAGATTGTGTGGATGAAGCTGGCGTCGCTGGTAGAGGGGGCAAAAATGGCCTCGGAGCAGTTGTGGTCGTAAGGCGTAATCGCACTGTTTAAATATTAGATCCCGTAGGGACGCACGGCCGTGTGCCCCTACCACGGCCACCCCGATATTTCCCTGACTCTTGGCTATCCGTGTCCTTTCATCTATCAAACAGGTCTTCGTGGTCCCTCGTGGACGACCCTCCTTCTCCCTCTGGGACAGGAGTGTGGGATGGGGCCACTCTGACTTGCTTGCTCCGCCTGGTTTGACTAACGTAAAGCCGTAGGGTAAGTTACCAATAAATTCGGCTACCTCAGCATCCAGGAGAATTTCCCATGTTCGTAATGAGATTTACCGAGCGGGCCTACTTCAATTACACCGAAGAGGACGTTAAGAACAGTCCCGGCGGCGCTCACCGCGTCACCTTCTCCAATTCCCACTTTGATCCGGCGGTGGCCGCCGACCAGTACAACTATTACCTTGACGAGTGGCAGTACTGCGAGGAGATAGGTTTCGACGGGATGATGCTCAACGAGCATCACAGCACCCCCACCAGCCTGGGCGCCGCGATGAACCTGGAGGCCGCCATCCTGGCCCGCATCACCAAGAAACCCAAGATTGTATTGATGGGCAACCCGCTGCCTATCCACGAAAACCCCCTGCGCCTTGCCGAAGAACTGGCCGAGATCGACTGCATATCGCGGGGCCGCCTGGTGTCCGGCTTTGTGCGGGGCGGCGGCACCGAAAGCTGGGCTACCAACACCAATCCAGTTTACAACCGCGAGCGGTTCGAAGAGGCCCACGATCTGGTCATCAAGACCTGGACTACCCCTGGCCCCTTCCGCTGGGAAGGCAAGCACTACCACTTCCGGCACGTCAATCCCTTCCAGGTGCCGCTGCAGAAGCCCCATCCCCCGGTATGGATCCCGGGCACCGGCAGCGCGGAAACGGCGGCCTGGTGCGCCGAACACCACTATCCCTACTTCTACCTGGGGATCGTGCCCTATACCTTCGGCTACATGCAGGACATCTACCGCGACGCCGCCAGGATGCACGGCTACGAAGCCGGCCCCCAGAACTTTGGCTACATGCTGCCCATCCACGTGCAGGACACCGATGAAAAGGCGAAGGTCGAAGGTCGCGGCTTCCTGGAGGCGTTGGTCGGCGTTGGCCGCGTTCCCATGCCCCGCGAATACTCCTTCCCGCCTGGTTACAACCGGGCCACGCGGGACATGTGGGCCGACGACGAGCGCGAGGCCAAGGTGCGTGAAACCAGGGCCAGCGACCCCTTCCGAACCGGCCCGGTAACCGACGAGACCTTCCAGGGAATGATAGACGACAACCGTATGGTCATCGGCAGTCCGGACACCGTCATTCGCAAGGTGCGAGAGGTACTGGAGCAGGTGCGTCCCGGTATCCTGGCCGTGTGGACCAACGACGGCTCCATTTCACACGAAGCCACCATGCGCTGCCTGCAGTTGATGGACCAGGAAGTGCTGCCCGCCATCCGCGAAATTGGCGATGAACTGGAACTGCCCGGGCCCTTTGACATTGACCCTTAAGCAGTGAAGCCTCCGTTGTCGCGGAGTCCAACGATTCCAGGCCGTCGGTGATTTGCGTCCTCACTGGGAAATCGTCCGCTACCGAAGTTACCCTTGGGGTGGTGACGCTGAACCAATGTCAGCGTCCGGTGTAGAAGCCGATTGCGGTAGCATCGCCTGTGCTAAAATTTAATCGTGGCACCAATATTCTGAGCACCAATATTCTAACCATCGCAGAGGAGAACAATAGAAATGGAAGGGAGGAAAGACTTAATAATCAGTTTTGACGCCCTGGTTACGGTGGAAGAACGGGAAGAATATTGGGCAGCTCAAGTCGACCCAATCGGAATGGTGGTATATGGTGATACCAGAGAGGAAGTGGAACGGCGGGTATCTGAGGCCGTAGATTTCTTCTTGAAGAACACTCCCGATGTTCGTCAATACCTGGACTTTCACAATGTACCACACCATGTTAGATACGCCAGCGACGACGACACCGGGAATACTGCCCGTCGCGTTCTGCCCGTCACTGCTCGCATAGAGAACCGTGTATTTGCCTGAACCTGTTTACCAAGCAATCGCCATTGCTACCCTCCAACGATTAGGTTACAAAGTTATCGTTTTGGAGGGTGGTTTCGCGTTACTCCACAACCCCAATCTTCTTGGTCCCTCCCTCAAACTGGATTTTAGCAGGGGCCCAATACCTTGGGCCGACTTCAAGTTTGTTCTGGAATATGAAGGTGTCGACGTAGCGAGGTTTCTCGCCGAAATGGATTCTATGTAACCATATTGCCCCCCTCCAGGATAGAACAGAACAAGGCCTGCCGTTGCCGTGTACGGCAGGCTCTGCATCCGCCCAATCCTCCGGTTGACCACCGCCAAGCGCTCCCCTATAGTGCGGGTATTCCGAACTACTGCCACTTTTCCCCGATTGCAAGCTGCCCAGTAGCGATCGGCTCAGCTGCAATGTAACGACAAGGAGGGCACAATGACCCAGAACAATCCGCCCCCGGTAACCCTGGAAACCCGCAGGACCATCGTATCCAGACCCATAGGCAACGATGCGGTCTTGACCCTCATCGGCGCCGGCGACATTAACCGGGGGCCCTGGCCCTTCGTTACCGGCATACCCAACCTGAACGCCGACCTGGCCGGTCCGCCGGCCCAATACCTGTCGGTGGCCGCCTGGGCCGCTTGAACGGTTGTCACGGTGGTAGGCGTGGCCTACCGTGGCGGCATACCCTTGGAAGATATTGAAGTCGACTTTGAGGTTGAGCCTGTCGAGCGCGCCGGTTCCATCGGTTTCGGCGTAAGAGAAGTCGTCACCCTCAAAGGGAACATTTCCGAGGGCGAACGGGTACGGCTACAGCGGGCATCTCGCTATTGCCCGGTGGGTCAGGCCCTGACCAAAGGTTCCATGGTAATCGAGGACGAAGTGCAGTGGCGGTCCGGCGAGATCACCGCCATACCCTCAAGCCTGGGCAACCTGCCCACCCTGGATGGCACCCTGCCGGTCATCCAGCCAGGAACGGTCCACGGCAGCTACCTTTTGGATACCAAGGAGTACGACGAAGAAGGCGTCATGCAGCACGAGGGTGAGGCCAAAATTTATGTGGAAACCCAGAACTTGACCCACACCAGCCGCTGGACTCTTATGGCAGGCCATAGTTCCCCGGGGCTGATTCCCCCTCCCTTCCCTTCTGCCCAGGCCGGCTGGGCGGCTTCTACGGCCACCACTTTGAGCCGCCTGCTGCCCCTGTCCGACAACCTGGACCCCCGGGATATTCAGGTAGAAGTGGGCGTGAACATCTCCGGAGGCCGAGACCAGGCCCAGGGCAGCGCCGCCGACGGCAGGGTGGTCCATCGCAACGCGGTGCGCCGCATAGTTGCGCCGGGCAACCCCCGCAGCATGCCAATCGAAGCCATCCAGGCCGCCCTGCAGCGCGACCCCATAACCATCGCTTACACCGAGGGTGGCGTTCTGCTGGATGAGCAGGTGGTGGTTGACTAAATTCGGGTTCCCCGCACCGGGGCATACATCGGGGTGAAGGAAGGTCCGCAACGGTCTTCCTGAAGAAAATTACAGGTAGCCATTTCCGGGGCAGTCCTTGTGGCTGCCCTGTTAACTAGCATCAACTTCTTGTTTATCGATTCTTGTTTACCGAAGCATGGGAGGTGCAAATATGAGCGCAAACCGGTTCCGCCTGGAGGAGGCCACCATTGCAGACCTGCACGCCGCCATACAGGCCGGCCAGACCACCTGTGTGGATATTGTCCAGGGCTACATTGACCGGGTAAGGGCATACAACGGCGTACCCAGCGTGCTGGTTACCGAGAACGGGGAGTCCATCCCCGAGGCCACTGGAACCATGCGGGGTGGTGACCCGATCAAGTTTCCCACTGAAACGGTCAAGGCAACAGAACTGTTCCCCGACCTGGACAAGTACCAGGGCAAGCCCCTGGAATTTGGCCGGATGGAGCCCACCGCCTCCGACCCGACGGTGCAGCAGCAGTACGGGATGATTGTTGCTAGGCGGAAGGCGGGACAGGTGAACGCCCTGGGCACCCTGAACATTCGCGGTGAACGGTCGGTTACCTGTAAGGGCGACTTTGACCGGCATCCTTCGGAGGGGCCGCTCCCGCCAGATGCGCCTCCCGTGTGCGAACACTTCCGCCAGTTCCCGGACGCCCTGGAACGGGCTGCGGAACTGGACGCCCAGTACGGGACCAACCCGGATTTGGAAGCGTTGCCCATGTACGGTGTCACCTTCTCTTTTAAAGACCCCTTCGACACCAGGGATATGCGGTCCACCGGCGGCGGCGATGCGGCATACGACATCGACTTTCCTGCCCGCGACCACGTCCTGGTGGAGCAGTTGCGAAACAAGGGGGCCATTATCTTTGCCAAGGCGGTCAACACCGAGTACAACGGTCGTGCCGGCGACCCCGGCGGGCGCCACACCCCCGATAAAATACTGCCCTCGGTGCTGGGATACCAGCGCAGCAGTTGGGGCGGCAACCCCTCCAACCCCTACGACACCTCCCGTTCCGCGTCCCTGGGTTCAAGCTCGGGGTCGGCCCTGTCGGTCAGCACCAACATGGTGATGGCCAGCCTGGGCGAGGAGACTCGGGCCTCCACCCGCGGGCCGGCCAACCACAATTCGGTGGCCCTGATCCTGCCCCACAAGGCCATGCTGGGGTTTGACGGCGGGGCCATAGGCGCCGACATATATTGCGACCGCAGCGGCATTCACTCCCGCACCATCCAGGACTGCTCCAGGGTGCTGGACGCGCTGAAGGACCCGGAGGAAGGCTATTACGACCCCCGCGACCCCTTCACTACGGTGCCCCGTTCCTCAGTCTTGCCTTCATACCAGGTCCATGCCCGGGGTTCCGGCGAGGCCGGTTCTCTTGCCGGCGTCCGCCTGGGCGTTATCCGGGAGTCCATGGCCTACCCGGCCGGTTCCCTTACCGAGAAGCCAATCGTGGACGCGGTTAACCGCGAAATAAAGGAAGTGTTGCGGGACCACCTGGGCGCCACATTGGTGGAGTCTTCAGACCGGAACTTCCCGGCCGACCCGGAAATAGAGCCGATGAAGGTGGACTTCCGACGGGCCATCGCCTGCCTGTTGCCGGTCTTCATGCCGGATATTCTTTACCGGCTGGGCCCCGACGGGCAACCGGTGTTCAAGGAGTTTGCCGAGGTTATCGTCCCCACCGAGTTTGCCCCCGGAGTCTTCTTCGGCTCCGGCGAGATGCAGCCGGTGGACTACTTCGTGGAACTGGCCGACGGGCTGATTGAGCCGCCGGTTAACCTGGACCTGGCCACCATCCAGGACCAGATCCTGGCCATGTCGTTCCGCTACCACATAAAGCAGTACCTGACCCGTCGCGCCGCCGACTGGCGGGCATTGGGCTACACCGAGACCATTATTGACTGGCCCACCCTCAATGCCCGTTCCAAGTTCTGGGGCGACGACCAGCGGGCGGCCTTCAAGAACTGGGAGGAGGTCACTGACCTGCGTAACCCCCTGGGCGGCCGGCAGGGCGTGGACGAGCGGATCATGCTGCGGGAGTTCCTGCGGCGGGTGGATATGATGGTAATCCTGGAGAACAAGCTGGATGCCCTGGTCCGCCTGCATACCCCCTATCCGCCGGCGAAAATCGGCGGGGCCAACCAGAGCAGCGGCGGAAACAACATCCGGCAAGAGTCCACCAACGGCCCCAACGCCGGGCTTACCGAAGTGCTGATACCGGCAGGATATGTGCAGACCGCCTATGATCCGGTCTTCCGGCTATCGGAAGATGGCACAAGGTACGAGTCGGCGCCGTCCACTGAACCCACGGCGCTGGACGCGCCTGGCCTGCCATTCTCGCTGGTATTCCGGACCGAGCCGGGAAAAGAGGACCTGCTGCTGAACGTAGCATCGTCTTACGAATCAGCATCACGTAGAAGAGTTATGCCACCTGATTTCGGCCCAATAACTTAACAACTCACAATTATGCAAATATATTCTGCCTTTGCCTGCATGTAATATTGACATATACAATATTACAATCGTATATTACGTTGAATTGCCGGGCAAGGGCAGATGTTTTTTCTTGGATGGATAATAATTCGTAACGAAAGGAGCAGCACATAGCCCGTGTCCGCCATGACGATCCCGGTTGCATCCAATCATATTTTGCCGTAGACCGGCGGAGGTTGAGCAATGGATTATCACCGTATCCCCAGTTTCAAGGTATGGTTTTTAGGGACTTTAAGCTTTGTCTTACTCCTAATTCTCGCTTGCGGCGCCGCGGAGGAAGGTCCTGCCCAAGAGCCTGCCCAGGACCTCACTTCACAGTCGGTGTCGGAAGTGGCGGGCCTGCCGGCGGAAAAAGCTCCCGCCCCCGTGGCGCAGCGAGAGCCCGCAGCGGCTCCAGGATCATCCTCTTCCACCGGCTCGGGTGGAACGGATACCATGGCCAAGGCCGAACCGGCGCCAACGGCAGTGCCGGCAGCGGCGCCCGCTGAGCCTCAGGTTGCTGCCAGGGCGGTAACCAGGCTTCAGTACGCCATTGGCGCGGTGGCCAACGAGTCCAATCGGCCCTGGGCTGGCAGCCGCCAGGCCTACGTTCTGTATGACCCCATACTGGAACAGGCCATTGGAATCGATGGCAAGACCAGTCAGTACGTTCCCGAACTGGCCACCAAGTGGGAAGCCAATGATGACCTGAGCGAGTGGACTTTCTGGATTCGCGAGGGAGTCCAGTTCCACAACGATTGGGGAGAATTGACTTCAAAAGACTTTCTGCACACTTCAGAAATTCTTACCCGGGAAGATTCCCGGCTGGGTACCGGCCGGTTCTTTACCGGTCGTACCGACCTGGTCGGCTCAGACCAGTTCTTCCAGATCATCGACGACTATACCTTTACCGTGGTTTTCCACGAGGGAGGTGAGCCCACCACCACCTTCGACGCTGAATTCATCATGAGCAACGCCTCGTCGGAGATGGGGCCGTGGAGCGTTGATTTCTGGGAGTCGGTCGGCGGCAGCGGGAGTATTTATGGCTGCGCCGCGGAGGACGCTGCCTGCCAGGCGAATCTCGAGGCCAGGGAAAGGAACCTGGACGAGCATGGAATGCAGGGTACGGCATCCTACCAGTACCTGGAACTGGTGCCCGCCGAATCTTTCATCATCGAGAAAACTCCGGGCCGACACTGGAGCCAGGACGCTGACGACGTTCCAGCGGAAGATCCTGACTTCCAGGAAGTACGGATTCACTGGGTGCGTGAGGATGCCAGTCGCCATGCCGCCCTGCTGGCCGGTGAAACTCACATGGCCGACTTGCCTCTGGACCTGCAGAAGGATGCGTCGAACAGGGGAATGAAGCTGATTCGCTCCCAGTTCACTGCCAACAACTTCTTCGTGTTCTTCGGCGGTATGTACTTGGGAGACCACCCCGACGATGTGGCCGCATTCGACAATACGGTACCCTGGGCCAACCAGGAGCACGGCATCCTGATCCGGGAGGCTATGAACAAGGCCATCAATCGGGAGGAACTGCTGGAACAGCTCTATAAGGGCATCGGCGAACTGATGTACGTCGGCTATTACCACCCCAGCCACTACGGTTGGGACGACTCCTGGCCCGAACGGTACGAAACCAAGTACAAGTATGACCCCGAACGGGCGATGGAACTGATGGCCGAGGCCGGCTACAGTGAGTCCAACCCTGTAAGGGTAACGGTCCAGTCGTACGTCTCACCGGGTGAGTCGGAAATGCCCCAGGCCATGGAAGCCATCGCCAACTACTGGCAGCAGGTGGGCATTGAGGTGGAGATTGAGGACCTGGATGGCGCCACCGTGCGGCAGCGCTACCGCGGCCGTGAGATGCAGCACCGGGTGTGGCCCAACATCATCATCTACTTCCCCTTGGAATACGGCGTGACCAACCTGCTAAGCAACCTTGGTTCGGGCAACGCCTATAAGGACAATTGGACCAATGAAATGGCTTCGCAGTGGCGGGCCACCACGGACGACGACCAGCGGGACCGGATTGCTCGAGAGTTTGGCAACTATGCCTTCGAGAACTATGTCAATTTGCCGCTGTTCTGGTTCCCCCACACCGTTGCGGTGGACCCGACAGTGGTGAAGGACTGGGTCTACCCGGGCAGCACCGTTCCTCGGGGCGGCCACCTGCACAACGTCAAGGCCGCTGCCAAGTAACCGATTAACTTCGCGGTTTTCCGCTAAACCAGGGGCAGGCCCTTCAGAGGGACCTGCCCCTTTACTTTGCCCATGAAGGGCGGTGTACGGTCTGACATCCGCCACTATCCAGTTCTGCCGCCTACGGTCAACCTTTTCTGCAAGGGGTTACATCCCTCGCCAGCGAGGGATGTTTCAGTCCGGGCAGGCATTCTACTTGCAGCAACTTTCTGCTTTCGGGCTTTCAGCAAGTTCTGTGAACAGCAGTACGAATAGAAGACTTTCTAATTGGAATCATTTAGTCATTACCTGTAGGTTTAGCAATATTAGTTACGTAAAATAAGTCTGATAAAGCTATGATGCACCGATAACGGTTTTTGACAATGCAATTTCGTTGCATTATATTCCCTTAAACTGTCAGGCGAAACCATACCCCCGCTACTTTCCAGAAATCGAGCGGGGCAATTGGAGTTGCAATTCGACAGAGGATTCCCTACCACGGTGGTTAGACCATAGGTATCCAATCACAACTTGCCAAGAGGCTAGGGAGGGTAAAGAATGGCAAATCATTGGCTAACAAGTCCCAAGGCATGGCTATACGGGGCAATGTCATTATTGCTTGTATTAGTTGTCGCCTGTGGAGCGGCAGAGGAAGGCCCTGCTGCCGAACCGGCTCAGGCTATAACATCGCAGTCGGTATCTGAAGTTGCCGGACTGTCGGCAGAAAAGGCGCCTGCCCCGGCGGCCCAGCGCGCACCCAGCACCGGAATGTCTGGCGGTACCGGCGGCTCGACTACCGGCGCCGAGGCCATGACCGAAAGCTCTACCGCTTCTGACCCGGCACCCACGGCAGCACCGGCCCCCCAGGACAAGCCGGCTGTCGAAACTCGCATGGTTGACCGCCTGGAGTACGCCATCGGCGCGGTGGCCAACGAGTCCAACCGCCCGTGGGCCGGCAGCCGCCAGGCTTACGTGCTCTATGACCCTATTTTGGAGTACGCCATCGGCGTGAGCCCCACCAGCAGCGAATACGTGCCGGAACTGGCTACCAAGTGGGAAGCCAGCGACGACCTGAGTGAGTGGACTTTCCACATCCGCCCGGGCGTCCAGTTCCACAACGAATGGGGAGAACTCACCGCTGATGACTTCCTGCACACTACCGAGATTCTGACCAGGCCCGACTCTCGCCTGGGAACCCCCCGCTACTTCATCGGTGGCCGTGACGACGCCGGCAACCCGCTGGCCGGCCCCGACCAATACTTCAAGAAGATTGACGATCATACCTTCACCATTGCTTTCCACGGACCCGATGGCAATCCTGCCACCACCTTCGACGCCGAGTTCGTAATGAGCAACGCTTCCTCAGAAATGGGTCCCTGGAGCAGGGCAGCCTGGGAATCCGGCGGAACAGAACTGGAAGCCCGGGAATCGAACCTGGATGAAATTGGTCTGCAGGGGACGGCATCCTACCAGTACGTGGACTTAGTCCCGGCCGAGCATTTCATCATCGAAAAGACCCCGGGCCGGCACTGGACCATGGACGCAGACGACGTGGTCGGTGAAGACCCGGACTTCAATGAAATCAGGATTCGCTGGATCCGTGAAGACGCCCCTCGCCAGGCCGCTCTGTTGGCCGGAGAGGCTCACATGGCCGATCTGCCCCTGGACTTGCAGAAAGACTCTGCATCCCGCGGCCTCAAGCTGATCCGTTCCCAGTTCACCGCCAACAACTTCTTCGTGTTCTTTGGCGGCATGTACCTGAGCGACGACCCCAGAGACATTGAAGCCTACGATCCGACGGTACCCTGGGCTGACACTCCCTGGGCTGGACAGGAACCTCCTCAGCCGGGTGAGGCCGGATTTGAGACCAACGGCTGGAAGGTCCGCCGGGCCATGAACAAGGCCATCAATCGGGAGGAACTGCTGGAACAGCTCTATAAGGGCATCGGCGAACTGATGTACGTCGGCTACTACCACCCCAGCCACTACGGTTGGGATGACACCTGGCCGGAACGCTACGACACCATGTACAAGTACAACCCTGAAGAGGCCACGCAGTTGCTGGCCGAGGCCGGCTACAGCGAGGACAACCCCGTCAAGGTGACGGTACAGTCCTACGTCTCCCCTGGTGAAGCTGAGCTACCCCAGGCGATGGAAGCCATTGCCAACTACTGGCAACAGGTCGGCATAGAAGTAGAGATCGAGGACCTGGACGGCGCCACCGTGCGGCAGCGCTATCGTGGCCGTGAGATGCAGCACCGCGTCTGGCCCAACATCATCATCTACTTCCCGCTGGAGTACGGTAACCTGAGCGGTTTCACCAGCACCTTCGGCGCCAGCAACCACTACCAGGACAACTGGGTAAACCAGACTGGCTTCGATTGGCGCAACGCTACCGACTTTAACGAGCGGGACCGCATAGCTCGCGAGTGGGGCAACTATGCTTTCGAGAGCTACATGACCATGCCGCTGTTCTGGTTCCCCCACACCATCGTGGTTGACCCCACCGTGGTGGATGACTGGGTGTTCCCTGGCAGCACGGTACCGCGCGGCGGGCACCTCCACAACGTGAAGGCGGCAGCCAAATAAGGCAACCACCCCTATTCCGGCTTACGCCGAAGCCCTTCGGGGCTGGACATCGCAGGGCAGGCAACCGTTGCGGTTGCCTGCCCTCTTCTTTTGCACTATATTGGTGGCTCTATATTGAAGCCACACTTCCAGGGGAGACAGGCAATGACCACTGCACAACCCAACGGCAACGCAATAGAGTTCGGAATATTCGACTGGATCGAGTGGGAAAAGCAGCCCCATAACAAGATCTACGAAGAGCGGCTGAAAATGCTGGAGTATGCCGACCGGAACGGCTACTACTGCTACCACCTGGCAGAGCACCACGTAACTCCCCTGAGCCTGGCGCCATCGCCCGGCATTTTTCTGGCCGCCGCCGCCCAGCGCACCCAGAACATTCGCCTAGGCCCCCTGGTCTACCTGCTACCCTTCTACAGCCCTCTCCGCTTGCTGCAGGAAGTGTGCATGCTGGATAACCTGAGCAACGGCAGGCTGGACCTGGGCGTGGGCCGCGGGATAGTGCCAATGGAAGCCGCCCACTATGATGTGGACATTGCGAACGGCCGCGACATGTTCCACGAGGCCATGGACATTCTGATCATGGGCATGACCGACGGCGTACTCAATTACGAAGGCAAGTACTACAATTACCAGGACATTCAGGTGTGGGGCGAGCCGCAGCAGAAGCCCTATCCTCCCCTCTGGTACGCCACCAACAATCGGGATTCAATACCCTGGATTGCTCAGCACGGGTTCAACACCAGCAGCGTGTTTGACAAGGCCGAGGACGTCAAGCCTCACTTCGATCTGTACCGGCAAATCTGGCAGGAAAACAACGCCAACGAGGGTCGACTCAACGGCCACGTGAAGGAACCAAAGCTGGGGCTGACCAGGCACATCTACGTGGCTCCCACCGACGAGGAAGCTATCAAGGAAGCCCGGAAGGCCTTTGACACCTGGTTCTTCAACATTAACTTCCTGTGGGACAAGCACGACGTTCCGCTTCCTGCCACCATAGATTTCGACAACTGGGTGGAGAATGAGGTCCTCATCGCAGGCTCGCCCGATACGGTGGCCGAGCAGGTCAAGAAGACTATTGATCAAAGCAGCATCAACTACTTCAACTCCATCTTTGCCTGGGGCGACCTGTCCCACGATCAGGTAATGCGTTCCATTGGGCTATTCACGGAACAGGTCATGTCCGGCTACCGCTAGGAGCGCCTCCGGCTCTGTTTTCTGATCTGGCCGCAGTTGCCCGTCGGGGCGCTGCGGCGGTCTTGTTTCCCCTCAGACATAACCTCTATAATTCAATATCAGGAATCCAGCAGCATGCGCCGACTGCTCGCCCGCCATGGGCTGCACGTCGACATACAGTCGCAAGGCAATAAAAAGCCGCCCGGCCAATGCTTAAGCCGGGCGGCTTCCGCTGGCCCCGGCCCCATCGTCCCTATATATCTGCTAACTCGAATGCCTGGGAGAAAAACTTGGAGCGCTCTAACGCAGCCAGACCACGGCCATTCCCGATATCCATGTTTGTTGCCATTCTCGGTGTCGGTTTGGTCATTTATGGCGCCATCAGCCCCTGGGCCCGTGTGCCTACCTACAGCAACATTTACGGACGTCCAGGCGGCGATACGGACATCTTCTGGGTGACCGGAACCGAGGCTTCGGGGATGGTTCCCCTGGTGGGGGACGGCATGATATCACTGATTCTGGCCGCCATGGCCGGTGTGTTGATTCTGTGGCGGCTGCTCTATCCACCCCGTTCCAGCGGCTTTTTACTGCTTGCCATTTTTGCAATGCTGGCGGTCAGCACCTTTGTGGGGTCAGTCAACCTGGTAAACGTGGGCAACATTCCGAGAGCAGACTCGCGGTTGTTCTTTGAAAGCAGTGTAGAAGTCAGTTGGGGGCTGATTGTCTTTTGCATCGGGTCCTGGCTAGGGCTGCTGGCATCCGGCTACCAGTTGTGGCATGACGAGCTGCGCTAGAGGTGTGCATACCAGTCAAATGAAAAAACCAGGCAAACCTTCTGTGTCCCCTCTCAATAAACAGTAATCCTTCTCCTGAGGGAGCGAGTCCGCCCACCAGCCTAACTAATCCGAATACAAAACTTGGGGGCCCCGACAGTCGGGGGCCCCAAGTTTTTCTGCCTTGACGTGGGAACGAGATTACAGGTTACGCTGCTTGGGGTCCAGCCTGTCCCGAAGCCAGTCGCCCAACAGGTTCAGAGAAAGCACTACCATTGAGATGGCCACGCCGGGGAAGAAAGATACCCACCAGGCGCTGACCACCAACTCACGGCCGTCGGCAACCATCAGACCCCATGCGGGTGTAGGACGGGGGATGCCGGCGCCCAGGAAGCTCAGGCTTGCCTCGAGCAGGATGACAAACCCCACCTGAAGGGTGGCCAGCACGACAATTGTGTTTACCACGTTTGGGAAAACATGCCGGAC